GTAAGTCCATGCCCAACACATGACAATTTACACATTTAAATAATTGATGGAAACAAAATTATGATGTATAGTCATATGAATTTATTTATATACTGTACTTAAGAAATTATTTAAGGCAAAGCGTCAATTTGGGGGGTGGGGGGGGGGGGGTGAGAACTATCTAAGATTGTGTGTGTGTGTGTGTGTGTGTGTGTGTGTGTGTGTGAGGGAGGGGGTATGTGTGTGTGTTAAATCATTAATATTTTGATCTCAAAATCAATAGGGGTCTTTTAAGGTCATAAAATATTTCACATAAAATTTCATTACAAATGCCGATTCCAGTGGATTTCCTTATTACCTAGCTGGAAAGTTTCTTCAATAATAGGCAAAACTCTTAAGGCAAAAATAATGGAATCGGAATATCCTGGTAATATTCACATCTATACACTGTGTACTAAATATCTGCAAAGTTTAACCAAATTCTGTGCAGCAGTTTAAGAGGAGTTGCACTAACAAACTGCTCATCTCTATAATCAATATAAGGCCAAAAATCTAGGTTGAAAAGTGCCGAAATTCCAAGAAAAATAAAGGATCGGAATTTCCTGGTAATATGCACATCTACACACTGTGTACTAAATATCTGCAATGTTTGACGAAATTCTGTACAGCGATTTAAGAGGAGTTGCGCTGACAAACTGTTCATCTCTATATTCAAGATATGGCAAAAATCTAAGTTGAAAAGGGCCGAAATTCCCAGAAAAATAATGGAATCGGAATTCCCTGGTAATATGCACATCTACACACTGTGTACTAAATATCTGCAAAGTTTGACCAAATTCTGTGCAGCGTTTTCAGAGGAGTTGCGCTGACAAACTGTTCATCTCTATATTCAAGATATAGCCAAAAATCTAAGTTGAAAAGTGCCGAAATTCCCAGAAAAAATAAAGGATCGGAATTTCCTGGTAATATGCACATCTACACATTGTGTGCTAAATATCTGCAAAGTTTGACGAAATTGTGTGCAGCTGTTTATGAGGAGTTGCGCTGACAAAAAAAAAAAAAAAAAAAAAAAAAAAAAAAAGGACTAACGGACTGACTGACTGACACACTGACTGACGGACGGGTCAAAAACATTATACCTCAAGCAACTTGTTGCGTGGAGTATATTAATATTAGATTAGCGATCCCAACAACGTCCGTTCCTTCTCTTTCGCTATTCTAATCATCACAAACCAACATTTTTTTTTATTTTTGGTGTATTAATTGTGTCTTATGTGTTTATTTGATAAATAAGTATAGTACCAAAAATCATCCCCGTTGGAATCGATGTTTATTTAAAATAAACGTGATAAAAACAGCTTAGGAGTTTAACAGAGTTTAATTTTTAGAAAAACGTGTTTGAAAATGTAACATTTTGTACCAAATGACTCATCTAGCCAATTTTCAAGTTCTTTTTTAGCAAATAAAAATACAATATCAGGAAAATATTTCCCTCTCCTATTTCACAGGAACCCAATACATCAAAAGATCATTTCTAAAATTTCATGTGACAGATCAATGAAATTTTCACTTTTCAAGTGCGCCCAGATTCCTGCCGAATGCCAATCAAAAGCGCCCTCGTTCTTTAACAGTTTCAAAGAATCGAGTGCAAATGTTTAGGTCAAGTATTATTAGTAATTCAAAAATATTGGCAAACAAAATGGAAGTCAATGGTTTTAACATAATCCAGATTTGTAGACTGGTCTTTATTACTGAACGATGGTAAAACGAATTATCGGTCAGCTTGGAATTATTCTATTGGGAAGTTATCTCTCTTATTAAAGGGTTGTTTCACCTTAAACCCAGAGGAACTCATGATATTCAGGTGACCGTCAATTAAGGTCGATCTCTTGCTTCCTGAATTCATAGAATATCTTCAAGTCATTACATCACATCTAACTTCCATTATTGTACATCATTGCCAAGATAGGGTAAATTCTGTGCTAAATTCCGTTCAAAATCTTTAGTTGTACATCTTCCAAACAAAGTCAACATGTCTTTAAGTTAATTGAATACACCCAATTTTGGTAATACACCACTTTAATTTTGTATCTCATTTCGGCTATACCGAACAGAGTCTGAAATCCAGATTTAGACATATTTGATAACACAGTTATACAGACGTTGAATCACTTTGGTGCTAACCGGATGTGTTTGCTCTGAATACTAAAGTAAACATGGAATAGCCTTGTTAGGAATTATAAATAAATTCCATTCAATTTAATAATTTTAACGGTAGTGATAAAAGAATGGACATCAACGAAATATTTGAAAAGATTAGTGCCCTGCTGTTATTAATGAGAGTTTACTGAGAGGGGATGAACATGTGCCTAAAAAGGTGAGATGCTTGTTATAAACTAAGACTAGAGTTTATATTGAAAATTTTTATCTGTACATGAATTAAAAGTATATCTATATATTGTATTCTGTGATAAAGATTACAAGACAAATTATAGCAATCAAATGCAAGTTTAGGTTTATTACAAAATATTATAGCTATATACGAGGATTGTAAGAGAATAACAGCTATTTATGCTAAAACTTTAACTAAATTGGATCATGAAACATGCATAGGCCTACATAACAGATACTTAAGATATATTGAAATTTTTTTTTCTAATTTATGGTCAAAAGATACATAGGCCTAGCATTGAAACTTCTAATGAGTCAAAAAAAAAAAAACCCAAAGCTTTTTTGAATAAATGACCACCCAATTCTGATATCCAATAATTGATAAGTCAAAATTTGCTTTTTTAACATCTGAATATGTAGAAGCTTGAGACTGGAATAAAATCATTATCAAAATCTGTCAAAAATTTCAGTTCCATGTCTATAAAAACTTACAGAAAGTAACAGATATTAAAACAAAACAATGCAATCAGTAAATAACACACACACACACACACACATCTTTTAAGTTAGCAGGGCATTAATAATGGTGTTAGATGATATAATTACTGATCTGTCTGTAGTATATGACTCCACTTTGTTCAGTCTCAGTCTCACAGGACCTTGGGGGTGTTTTTATGTTTAAACTCAATCCTGCCGTTTTCAATGCATGTCTTAACAGTTTGTATTATATGAAATACAAACATTACAAACATTAAAAGCTTTTATTCACATATATAGGAAACACTTTTCAAATGTTGCTCAAGTTCTCTCTCTTGTGCCTCTATTGGTGTTAAGCTCACATGATTTGCATTATCATGTGAGCAAAATGTTGAAACCAAAAGAAAAAGCAAAAAAGACTGTTCTTCCTTATATCTATTGATTCAATAAAACATTAGATATATACTTTATTTATATTCAATAAAACATTAGATATATATACTTTATTTATATTGAATAAAACATTAGATATATACTTTATTTATATTCAATCAAACATTAAATATATATACTTTATTTATATTCAATAATCATGATTATTATCAATCTAAGTCTGCAAGCCCCATCCAGTGTATTAACATGCTGAGAAGAAAGACAGCTTTTTGTTACTTTTTTCCCCTTGTTTTTTTGTTTTTGTTTTTTGTTTGTTTGTTTGTTTGTTTTTGTTGGTAAGATACTCATTTTACTTTTAGAGAGAGAGAGGTGATTTCAAAAGATACAGAATTAGCAATTTATTAAATGATTTTGCTCCATTTATATACATGTATATTGTAACACACTTTGATATATTCAGTCATGAAAACTAACTAATTAATTTTTTAACTCAATCTTTTTAAACTTATATTTTTTTCATCTGTAACAGGAACGACATAACTTTGAGATTCTGCGTAGTTTGTTGCCCCTCTAATCTATAAAATAAGTGACTGTTAGCAATTACATATAGTTTTTTTCTTCTTCCAACATGTATTCATTTTTTTCGTCTAAAAAATTTATTTTTAATATAAACCTTGTTGATTATTTCGTTGGTTTTACTTCAAACTGTAAATTAGCGAATGACACAATAGTCTTATTATCGGTCATTTTACGATAAGAATTCCAATAACATAACATGAAAAAAAAGTTGTTTCAAGTCGTCAATTGTTCAACATATTTCTCTAAAGGACATATCAGAGAACGGGAAACCAGAGAACCATCGACAAATCTTCTATCGCTAACTTTTTACAACAATTTCTATATACCCGAGGCCAAAAACCATTGTTATGGAAGTTAATTCGTTAAACATAATTGATTGGCGTGTTGTTTGTTTTCAGATACATGTATTGAGTATAAAGAACGCTAAAACATTTTTTTTTACGGAAGTTACAAGTAATCGTTATGGAAGTTAATTCCCCAAGAAATTATACTTTTCAGTAAGAAATATAATCTTAGTATTATTTTTTGTTTGTTTTTTTTTTTTTTAAATAAGATATTGAATAAAGAGAATTAAGAAGCTTGTTCCCAAAACAGAAACACTTTTACCACCTAGACTGCGAAATCATGTCTGGTATATAGTTATGGAAGTTAAATTCGTAAAACAGAGATAACACATTTTGACATTTCGAGAAAATATTTATTTTAATCATCTGACTCTAAACTATAGAACCGATAATGTTATTTAGGTTATATTATCACTTTTGGGTGAGTTCGATTTATTGTGAGATCTACATGGTTGTACAATTTGAAACGAAAGAAGTTAACGGAAGTCAGTCTGTTTTCTGCGACGATTTCACGTAAAACAGGGACCCTGCATTTCTTTGCAAGAATAGGTTTGTTTTCCATTTATATGAAAAACAATTAGTTCAATAATCCATTCAATAAAACCGGAATGCTAATTTCATGTCTTGAAACGAGTTTATGAGTGAAGCGACATTAAGATTTACAGTAGAATACGTTAACTGTATATGAAACTACATACATATGTTGAGTTAAGCGTTGAAACTGATCGTTTTCAATCAATAATAAGAAGATGTCACAACGCTAAATTTCTTAGCGATATAAGAAACTTTTATTCGGTCCCGTTTTTGTAGAATGACTGTTTAAATATCAACTGCAGGATGTCTTCTCTTGCCTCCTTCTGGCTTATGTTGATAGCCTCCTTCTGGATTAGCCATAGTCAACAGCCAGGTGAAAGTGACGTTTTTGATACACCCGCTATTATGGCAGGTGATGTCGTCATTGGAGGTCTCTTTGATATATACTACACCAAACAGCGCGTGAACTGTGATGTCAGCTCCGTGGATGTGTATTCTGTTATGGAGATGGAAGCTGTAAAATGGGCTCTTAAGCGTCTGAACGACATTGATTTCATACCTGGAGTCAGTTTGGGTACATTCATAATTTATTGTTGTAACGAGTAAGACGAGAATTAGGAAATAATCTTGTCTTTTTTGTTCATATCCTTTTTTTATGATTTTTTTTATGATTCACAAATGCAGAATAAAGCAATACAGACTGAAGGAAAAATAATGTGTTTGAGTGAGTTTTGAATTACTATTTATAAATGATTTAAAAATATTTGTTGTATTTATTAAATCGACATTTTTCAAAAAAGCAATGTTTAATCTAAATAACTTAATTTAATGTGATAAGCCCTACTTTATAAATAGTCAGTACACACAACATGGAATAAGTTTGTATTATAAAATAAGTTTATGATTCTATAAACTCCACATGTACAGAAGAAAGAGATACGCGTTGGAAATCGTTTTAAGTCTTTATGTAAGAATAAAGAGAATTTATTCTTCTCAATTAAAAAAAAGGAGTCTATAAGAACTCCAAACTCATAGCCTAGAGTTCGAAAACAATTGTGATGCATGTGTCTTTTATTAATTTTCAATCTAAAGTTGAAAATGGCTACATGTAGCCATTTTCAACTTTAGATTGAAGATTAATAAAAGACACATGTTTTGTAATGTTTCTCATCTCAATTAACATAAAATAGATCAACAATTTTATTTTTAATTAGGAATCTTAGCCTATCCAACCTGTGGGGTGCCATCCTTGTCTGCTCTACAAGCCAATAAATTTCTTCAACTTCTACGTGAAAACAAAACACCAAACAAAACCAAGAAACCGGTGTATATTAAAGGTATTCTAATGAAAATGAGTCAATTTTAGCTCAGCTTTAGTTGAAGTCCAAAACAGGATATTTAAAAAGACAGATGAATAATTTACACTGTGCAGTGGGAGTTGGGTGTTTTGGTATTCTAAAATCAGATACACCAGTATGGACAGTCCGAATTGGGTCGTGACATTGAAAAGACGGATAGTCACGTTTTGGCAGTTTTGTCCTCAAAAGTATGTCACACGAAAGACAGATTCCAGATAGGTTCATCTGGTAAACAAATACGATGTGACACTTTTGTCCTCAAAAGTTTGTCATATGTAAGACAGATTCCGAATTGGTTCATCTGGTAAACAAATACGATGTGACAATTTTGTCCTTAAAAGTTTGTCCTATGTAAGGTAGATTCTGGAATGGTTCATCTGGTAAACAAATACGATGTGACAGTTTTGTCCTCAAAAGTTTGTCACGTGTAAGGCAGATTCCGGATTGGTTCATCTGGTAAACAAATACGATGTGACAGTTTTGTCCTCAAAGGTTTGTCACGTGTAAGGCAGATTCCGAATTGGTTAATCTGGTAAACGGGTTATCTGGTGAACAAATACGATGTGAAGCTGTTTTGGGCATTTTTTTTTTCCGACCGATAGGCTAATTTTGTAGGGTTTCATGTTTGTTCGTTGACATTAATAAAGCAGTGATTTATTTGAGGTTATTCTGTGCATAGTAGTAAGTTAAGACATTATTTCAAGGAAGAGATAAGGATAGAATCTCTCAGGAGGCCCACTAGGGTTTACTTTTACTTTGATGATCTTACTACAGAGAGGAAATTTTGGAAAGATAATTCAAGGACTTTTCTTTCGTAGACTTTTTTCAAAGTATTGAGTCACTGTTTAAAGAAATTTGAAGTGTTTACATATACACGATACTGTCTTTGATATTATTTATGTGATTTAGTTAAACATTCCTCTCTGTGTGAGAGATTGTATTGAGAACTTGGATACTAACACGTCATTTTCTTTCTTTCATTACTTCAGTAGTATCTTTTTGCTATCCGTTTCTCTCTCAGCTTACATAATGTAAATGAACTTTAACACAGTTTTCCATTTTTGTTTAGCCGTAATAGGACCAGCTTTCAGTTCGGAATCTGAAGTCGTATCCCGGATGTTAAGCAGTGTTCCAGACGAATACCAACTCCTTCAGATGTCATATGCGTCGACAGCCGCTTTCCTGACAGATGTAGAAAAAACTAATCTTTATCCAAACTTCTTTAGAACCATTCCATCCGATCAAATACAGATAGAGGTTATTGTTCATTATCTAAATATTTCCATATGTATGTAGTGCAAAACTATATGAATTTATTTTTTGATATTCAAAAACGTACGAGTATTGCAAATTTGCGTTGTACGTACTAAATGCGTTTTAATAAATTCCTTCGCTCATATTTTTTATGTTTTTAATTTAATTTTTTTTGTATTTTCTTGACAGTCAATAGTGCAACTCCTAGTTCGTTTAGAATGGACATACATTGGTATATTTCATTCTGGTGATGCTTATGGCAAGGATGCAGCGAGTGAACTGAATGAAGCTCTTGCAAAGAAACGAATTTGTGTCGCAGCTACGTATAACTGCAACAATGTACATTCTAAATTACGGAATCATTACCACGAAATTCTACTCAATATCACTGTACTTAAAATAAAAGGGATTGTGCTTATTGGAGATGCTGAAATGGCGCTTGCATTTATCGAAAGCATTGGAACCGGTTCATTTATTCAATATCACCCAATGCCATCCATAATTTTTTCAGAGAGTGTTGGTTTACAGTCTCAGACCTTCATCAATTCAGATTCCGGTCAAGTATTTCCAGCATCAAAGGGAGCATTTGTTCTTTCACCCCCACACAAAGAAATACGGGAATTTTCAGAACACTGGAATTCTCTCTTCTTCAATGAAAGCAAATACAAAGAAGAAGTTATATCTAATCCCTGGCTGGAACATATGTACATTGCAAAACACAAATATTCGAATGCCAAAACCTTTCTGACAAAGTATCCAGCGTCAACTTTTCTGCGATACGCTGTCATGGCAACATACAGTGTGGCCAAAATAATCAAAGATGTACACTATAATATCTGCTCTGGTAGGAGAGGGTTATGTTCCGATATGAAAGAAAATCGAGGAGCAGACGTCATAGCAACAGCAGCCCGAACTGTAGTGGATTTTGAGAAGGATTTTGATCGGAAAGCAAGACTTGAAAACATAACAGAGCAAATCTCATTCTCTAACGGTGGTGATGTAAACTTCCACAAGACCGACTTATTATACGAAGTTTACAATTTTCAGGCTTCTAATAAAAGTCTTGATTTCAAATTTGTCAAAGTAAGTATAGAATAATTCTTCCTTTATTGTTTTGAACTAATTTTTGTTTGAATGAAAACTTCCGAAAATTCTTTCTGTATACCAATATTTTCATCGTTATGTGCGCAGGTAGCATCATTAAAGAAAATTGTAAGCTTGGTAAAAGACCAAACAACGGAGTTTTCATTCTCAAAAGACAAGGTCAAGTTCTATAACGATCGGGGAATGGCTATTGAAGAGGTGAAGTCTGTCTGCCAGCCTAACACAACCTGCACCAAATGTCTGTTACATCAAGATAACAAAACTCCCTTGTATATCCCTGGCGATCTCATTGTGGTTGTAACCTTTCCCATTCATGATAGGTCCGCAGAACCTCTTCATTGTGGTCCAGTCAGGCGCTCAATCGGACTCGATGTAGCGTTAGGTGCAAAGTTTCTGATAGAAAAATTGAACAGGGAGAAAGAAATTTTCCCAAATAAGCAAATCGGTCTCCTCCTCCTCGATACTTGCGATGACCCTTTGCTGACCTCAGACAGCATTCTTGAGCTTCATCAGCTACATGGAAAACTGAATGACATAGTTCCGGGTATATCTGATAAGATACTGGGATACGCTGGCGGATTTTCAAGTACTCCGACACTACAGGTGGCAGAAATCACAACAGAGTTAAAAATGGTTCAGGTAAAACATGTAGCCAATCAATTTTGCATTCTTCTTAAAAACAGACAAATTCGACGATGCCACAAGTCGAGTTTTTCATAAACCATAAATCTGTATGTAAATGTTTATGAATTAATCGTCTTACACATATTATTCTTACAGTAGTATTTTTTGTCATAGGTTAGTTGTTGTGCTACTTCCGACTTACTAAGTGACAGACTAAACTACCCGTACTTTGTTGGTTTGGCAACTCCGCTAAATTACACCACTCAGGTCATGCTAAAGATGGTTCAGAAGTTAGGTTCTACTCATATTCAAGTTCTCTTCTCGGACGGAAAATATGGCGAATCGGCTGTCCGATTGATAAAGAATCTTGCTCCTAGCTTTAACATTTGTGTATCTCAAACAGTCCAAGTTGACTATGAAGACAACAGCATCAATAATATTATTTTTAACTTAAGAAGGTATCCTACCTCTCGATATATCTTGGCCTACATAGCGTCGCCTCTTATGCCAAGGATTGCAAAGGCAATCAATGCTGTTATGAACAGATCTGAGTTTCTCTTCATTGGTGATAACAGTTTTAACCATAGAGACTATATGCTAGAGTATCCTAATCTGCGTAGTTCTTTATTAGTTGCGGAACAAAAAATTCCACAGAGCGACGAATATAAAAGTTACCTGAGCAATATGGATCCAACTTTTGAAGACATGCAAGATAGCGAACCGCTCATCTATTTTATGCAAGAAAACCTCAACTGTTACTATGACTTCAGCTTTCGAAAAAAGTTCCCCAGAAAATGTCATCGTGGTTCACATAAGTTTCCAGAACACCTCGATCCTTGGACGCCATACCTGATTCAATCAACAAGAGCACTTGTAAAAGGTGCCTTCTCTGCAATACAACACATGTGTAAGGGGGAGACAATATGTGCGGAGTATAGGAATAATCCTCAGCGGGTTGTGGAACATATAAAAAATGTAACTTTGGACATTGATGGTGATGACGTTAAAAATGACCAACTGTTTGACTCTAATGGAAATGGTGTTCTTGGTCTAAAAATTTATAGCATAGAAGAAGATTTTATAGAGGTGATTATTAACATTATTGTTTTTGTCCACTTCGCTTTGCTTCGTTATTATTCATCTACATACATTGATTTCATTTTATTTCAGGTTGGGGAATGGCAACACGGCCGTGATGACATTTATTTTGAGATAGAGCGTCACGGTCTTAAGATTTATCCTTCTGAATCAATATGTGAAGATGTAATAAAATCAGTACAAAACAGGTAAATTATGGAAGTTTGAAATGATAGGAAATTACAAATACAATAATCAGAAATCTGAACTTGTGGATCAATTTACCAAGAGTTTTAGTCTACATATGAGTAAAAAGTTCTCTCGAGGACGTTTAACAACGAACAAAAAAAAACAATACCAAGAGTTTTATTTATAGCTTGAAAGTTTTGAAAAAAAAAATTAAACAAAAATGTCCATACATTGTAGTGTTATCGCGAAAGACAACAGCAACACTATGAATCTTGTAAAAACGATTTTGCTGTCCATTTTTGCGGGGATTATCCTCATTCTTCTGGTAGCGTTTATTTGTTTATGCCAAAGTAAGTATTAAAATTCATACTTATTAGAATTCTGTATTATGCAATGGAAAAACATGTATTGCAGGCATATACACCACTGAACATCTATTGATAATACTATGTAAATTTCAATTTCAGGAAAGTCCTATCATTTATCATCCATGTCGTCTGTAACCACTACCAAATCAGAATACAATTCTATTGATGATCTCAGTTTTATCAATATGAAAAGAGTAAGTTCTGACGTTTCCTTAAAACTGAGTGAGATTTTTCACACCGATTCTCCATGTGGAACACCCAAATCAGTAAGATGCATGTGTGACATTAAGGAACACATTTCTCAACAGAGAAATGAAAAACTGTCTGCAAGCAACAGAAGTTCACCAATAATTCCGCACTTCAAAAACTTTCCAGGTTCGTCCTTGGAAATTCCAAGTCAACGGAAGATTTTACATCAGAGATTAAGAAGTGAACCTGCATTGAAAATAACTTCGCCAAGCACCACCAGACGTTTAAACTCTGAGCCTCTACCTCCAATTCCCAAATTACGTACAGATTCAGTTGATTTGCCCTACATTCTGGAGCATAAATCAAGACGCCAACACTCCGAGCCAACTCTGCCAACTGCTAATTTCAATAGATTATTGTTTCAAAATAGAAATAGAAAGGAAAGTTTGCAAGATCATGGCTACATTTCTCCAATAACAGGCTCTGATGGGGAGGATCTGCCACTGCATCATTTTCATGAATCAGCACATGAACAACTGGACCAGACTAGTAAAGACAATGTGTTGTTTGTTGTTGGAAATCCCGAAGAGCATGTCCAAGTATATTCTTGCTAAAGAGTGCAGAACATTTTAGTACTAGCGAGTAAATAAATAATATTGAATCAATTCAATATCTATAAAGCACAGTGGACCTTCTCACAAAATACCTTACGACTAAGAGAAAAGTCTCCCAATTTTCTGAAAACGTATAAAGTTGTAGATGGCACAGAAATGTTTTGGTTCTTTTACATTAGAATACATAGTATATAGTGTGAAATATGGAGATAACGAACAGTAATCAAGCTCAAAAGTCCATTGAAACAATATAAATCGGGAACAGAGCAAACACGGACCTCTAAAAACATCAGAGGTGGAATCAGGTGCCATGGAGGTGTAAGCATCCCCTGGAGGAGTAAGCATCCCCGGTCGACCGTCACACCCACTGTGTGCTCATTGTCATGATTGAACAAAGAGAAAAATCGAATCAACAGGGAGATATAAACCCCATATGCAGGTGATAAGGGTATACTGCTACATGAATATACCACTGTCATCTGCATTTGGAGTTAATGTCTTCCAGTTGATTCAGTACGCAAAAGCATGCTCTACGTACGAACAATTTCTAAAACGAGGCAATATATTGACGAGTAAGTTGATGATACAAGGATATCGACTGTCTCGTTTAAAGTCAACATTTTGCTAATTCTATGGTCGATACAATGACCTTGTCAGCAAATACAATCTATCGTTAAATCGAATGTTGACTGAAGTTTTTCTTACAAATTGTTAGGCCATTATTTTCACACTGAATTCTCAACGGATTATTCCGTTTGCCCCATCATGACAAGGAGTACACGGTGGCTGTGACAGATCGACAGGGGATGCTTACTCCTCCATGGCACCTGATCCCACCTCTGATGTTTTTACAGGTCCGTGTTTGTTCTACTCTCCATTTGTGTTTTTCAATGGACTTTTGAGCTTGATTACTGTTCGTTATCTTCATATTTAATGCAGTCAAATTCTAGAGTTTTCTTTCCTTTTCGTCTACACAAATTCCAGTCAAAGGAAGTACATCTAATTTACCGCAACTACTGTTGAATCATCATTGATCGTTAGGGTCCAGCGTTCGTTGATTTCATTGGCTACCCCTATCGATGAATTTACATCCCTACGAACAATAGCTTTGTCATTTCCTCTGCACTATGCAGATCAAGATTAAAATATTGGTTTTTGCTTGTGTGAATATAAGGTATGACTAAAATTAACTTTATTTCATATGCCTTCTTTTTAACAGAATTGCAACCCTTAAATCTTGCACATTTTCCTACCTAGTTGCAGATGGACATGCATGACAGATTTACACATTTTTTGTTCCCCACTTATGCTAAAAGCAGGGGATACTAAGTATTTGTCCATCCACCCCTCTGTCTGTCTGTCACTGTGTGTATCAGTAACACTTTAGTTTGAAGATGATATTTCTATGTGTTCTTTAGCTTTTTAGCTCCCCTGAGCCTAAGGATCAAGTGAGTTTTTCTGATCAAAATTGTTGTTGTTGTAAACTTTTCACAATTTCATCTTTTCCAGAACCTCTGGGAAAGTTCCAACCACACTTAACACAGAACATCCTTGGGTTAAGGGGATTCAAGTTTATTCGAATGAAGGACCACATCCTCTTTCAAGGGGAGATAATTAATAGTAAAAATATAATGACATCTTTTAAAAACCTTCCTCTCAAGAACAAACAAACTAGGCAAGAAAAAATAATACTTAAGTGAAATCTTCATTACATAGTGTAGATTCAAGCTTATTCAAATGACCCCCGGAGGTACATTGTAAGGTGGGGCTAAGGACGTCAACAGGATATCAAAGTTATACATAGGAATATGTGGGAAAAATTTTTTACAATCTTTTTCTCAAGCACAGCATAATCATGATAAGTCATATTGATATAAGAGTATCCTCAGATAGTGTTGATTTTGATTTGTTAAAACCATGGCCCCTGGAAGTAGGATGGGGCTACAACAGGAGATCAAACTTTATATATAGGAATGTATGAAAAAGGTGAAGATAACAATGATCAGTCTAAAAAAAAACAACAACAACAACAACAAAAACAAACTACGATCAAGTACAAAACTGTGAACAGGGCATAAAACACTGATCCCTGGAAATACAAAAGGTGGGATCAGATGTCTAGGAGGAGTAAGAATTCCTGTAGAACGGGCACACCCGCCATGAGCCCTATGTATTGATCGGGTAGACAGAATATTCTGTAGTCAAAATTAGTATAAAAACAAAAGTTTAACAATTGGCATGAAATATGTCAGTCAAAATACGACCCGATGATAGGCTTAGTTTGCAACAAGGTCATTATAACGACCATGGAATTTACGAAATGCTGACTTTAAATGAGGTTATTGAAATCCCTGTGATATCAACTTATATGTCATTAGCCTGCCTCAGTTTAAAACTTAGTCATACTCAGATCATGCTCTTGAGTATCAGTTGGAAGAAATAACACCAAATGCAGTTGATAGCGGGATATTACCGTATAAGCAGAAATTACTAGTCATATTGATATGCAAGCAGTCTCAAGTGGTTTAGATTAAAGCTTAGGACCTTAGTAATAGTTTCTGGATATCTTTTGAATTCCTTTAACTTTTGCAGTGAAATTTTATTTCATAACTCCTTATAACTTAAAGAAGACTCCTATTGATTCTGAAGAATTCATGCATTGCAAAAAATGGTTTCCAAATGATTTTAATTAATTGTCACCTTTTGAAACTTAAGGTGATGACTCTCTCTAAGATTAGAATAACCCCTATTGATTTTGAGGCTAAAAGGTGAAAGGTTGAGGTCACAAATTCATCTTCAATACTTTTACTACTACATGGCCCCTTTAATTTGGAAGTAAAAAGGATGGAGGGTCAAAATTCAAGGTCATGAACTTGTACTCAGTTATACATTTTCCTGATAACATCTCAAATAAGATGGTTGGGTGGTCATGGCCATTTTTAGACTATTGAAACCTCGATCTTAAAAAAAAAAAAAAAAAAAAAAAAAGCTCTATAGTAAACCATAGAAAATTGCAATCCGTATTATCAGTCATGAGCATGATGGAAACAAGTTATTTTTAAAGTAACTCATTTAGGTTACTTCACTTCTTTATGAATAAACAAAGAAATCACTCATTTGAGTTATTTTTTTAATCAGAGTGCCTAGAAATTTTGTCCAAAACATGAATATTTGCAGTTTGCTGCTGAATCTTCAGTTACTGTGTATGAAAAAGCTGCACATACATGTACTTCACTTGACAAACCTGTTATTTCATACACAGATAAGATGATACATTGTACTTCTCAAAATACTGTGTTAATTTTCAGGTAAAAATTATAATATTTTGATGGTCAACTGTACATATTCCTATGATTTTGCCAACTCTTTGCATTATTTTCTTAAATTCTTAAAATATTCCTGTACAATTTTGATATGTTATATTTTTTTGCAAAGGCTTAATCTGTAGATTTTTAGCTCTACTGGTCAGAGACCGGAAGAGCTTATGTGATAGTAAGGTGTCCGTCGCCTGTCTGTAAACAATTTTTCAAAACGCTACTCCTCCTACAGTTTTGGTCCACAAGTAAACTACACTAAAATACGTAATTCTATTTATCATATACTCAACTGTTTGTCACACAGTTTTACTGTTGAATTTATGCAATCATATGATCCAACATTCCGGATCACCACACTGTGGTTTTCTGAATCCATATCACCCCTCTCTGAAAATAATGACGTAGTACAGAGATAAATGACGTTTTTATTCTCGCGCATCAAAAAGTTCCTTGACAAAATGGTTTGTTTAATTGATAAAGTTATGTAATTGATCCAAAAAGTTTCCTTTTATTATATTTTGCTTGTTGTTAAGGGGTATATAATAAATTTATCATTACAACAGTAACATGATCCGAAGAACCATATCACTTCTCGTTGACAGGCACAGATCATCAGATCAATCTTGACGCTTCGTGTCTCGTTTGATCTGATGATCCGCGCCTGTCAACTTGACGTGATACGGCTCTTTTGATCAAGTTATTGTAACAGTTATAATAATATATATATCAGTTTTTAATTTCAATGAACAGTGTTGCCATGGTTACTAAAAATAGAAATTTCTGTGAAACGTTACTCCTCTTACAATTTTGCTCAAATTTCAATATAACTTGGTACACAAGTAGACTACTCTAAGATACATAACTCTGTATATTGGTTTTTGATATCAAAGAACGGTGCTGCCATGGTTACTAAAAATAAAAAGTTCTGTAAAATTCTTTCTAAATGCTACTCCTCCTATCATTTTGGTCTGATTCCTATATAACTTGGCACACAAGTAGACTACACTAAGATACATAATTCTGTATATTGGTTTTTGATTTTGATGAACTGTGTTGCCATGGTTACTGAAAATAGAAGTTTCTGTGAAATACTTCAAAACGCTACTCCTCCTATAGTTTTGGTCTAATTTCAATATAACTTGGTACAAAGTAGATTACACTAAGATACATAATTCTATTTATCACATAATTCTATTTATCAGTTTTTTGATTTTGATTAAGTGTTGCAATGGTTACTAAATTCAATTTCTGAAAAAATTCTTTTGAAAGGCTATATGGTGAATATATATGCAGTATAACTTAAGTGATATTAGATATATCACACATTTTCCAAAATAATGATGACAGTAAGAAAATGTAACTCAGTATCCTGAGATAGATTTATTTCCAATCTCTGTTAAGATAATTTCCATTACAATTACCGATATGTGTATAGGAACATCTCAAATAATGGAGGCAACACTAACACCTTTAATTTTAAAATGGTATTAGACAAGTCAGATGCTATATATCTTTTGTTTAAATGTTCATTAAAATCTTTAAAATCACCATCATTTACTTTAAACATGACTTAAATTGAGAAGCTGCGTAATCATTGAAAGCTTTCTAAAAGGGATATTTAGAATGCCACCAAGGGAAGACCTTTAAATTGAGCACACGGTCCAATAAAATCACAGTATCGCCAACTATGTCTCTGTTCTGATTGGTTGACTCTTTCATTGATGAATCAAAATGAAGGCGTAGACAGTAGAAACGGTTCTCCTGACTCACTTTGAGATAAACATTACACAAGACAAGTCCCATCACAGACGATACACGCTGGAAATTTTGGCATGTCACTTGTAATACATAACAATCGATTTCTTCATGACCATACACATCACAATAGCCATCATACAAGTTCACCCTGCCTGGTAGAGATTTGTTCAGAGTTGTCAATTTGTTAAGATGTGAGAGTCGTTCTTTTTTAAACTTAAATGAGAAATTCCAGACATTTTTGAAAGGTTCAAACCAAGTGTATAAACATCTGTTTCCTTTCAAATGATATGGTTCATTTTCAAATGGCAAGTTTGTAGTAGTCCTTGACACAAAGAGGGGATAGGTCCAAAATAATGACCTGATGACTCTGTATCTCAGTCCCTGGGCTCGCTCTAGGCATTCTGACTGAAGTTGATCAGGGAGATCTGTATTATCTATACAAAACCTACAAGATATAAAAATACTCAGCATTATCATTATTTTATTTCATGCACTATGCATGCTATAAGAACAAGAGGCCCATGGGCCACAATGTTCACCTTAGTCACTATGGCCCTGCTGTTCTTCAACAGCAGATTTTCCACCTCTATATTCCTTTGTAAAATATTGATCTCCTATTGTGGATCTACCCTAGCCCAGAAGATCATGATTAGAATAAATTTCAATCTCCATTACCTCAGGATGCTTTATATAAATATAACTAATCATGACTTTGCTGTTCTTTAGAAGACAATCTTGAAAAATCTTTTCCTATATATTCCAATGTAAAGCTTTGATTGCCCACTGTGGCTCCACCCTACTCCTGGGAGTTGTGATTTTGTATAAAATTGAATCTACACCACCTGAGGATGCTTCCACATATATATGGCTAATCATGACTTTGCAGTTCTTGAGAAAAAGATTTTTAAGATTTTTTCTTATGTATTCCTATGTTAACCTTTGATCGACCATTGTGGCTCCATCCCACCCACCATGGATCATGATTTGTACAAAACTGAATCTACACCAACTGTAGATGCTTCCCCATGAATATAGCTAATCATGGCTTTGATGTTCTTGAGAAAAAGCTTTTTAAAAAATTTTTCCCAATATATTCATATGTAAAACTGTGATCCGACATTGTGGCCCCATCCTACTCCCAGGGGTGAAGAATTGAACAAACTTGAATCTACACTATGTAATGAAGCTTTCACTTAAGTTTCATCTTTTCTGACCCACTGGTTCTTGTGAAGAAGATTTTAAAAGATGTCATTATCACTAATTCTTAATTATTTCCCCTTGAAAGAAGGTTTGGCCCTTCATCTGAACAAACTTCAATCCCCTTTACTGAAAAATGCCCTTTTTCAAGTTTGGTTAAAATTGGCCCCAGTGAATCTGAAAAAGAAGATATAATGCAAACTACGACAACAACAAATGGACAAAAGCTCACTTGAGCCTTTGGCTCAGGTGAGCTAAAAACCAATGTGTATAATCATAACAATGTCTACAGGTCTAATCAACACATACATACAGAAAGATTGCTTTTGGGCCTTAATGGTCACTTGGCAAGAGTGTTGTTATGCATTTTTTTCAAGAGCCATATACATGTAGTATGTTTTCATACATTACATAAAAAATTGCATATAATTTTAAGAATCTTCTTAAGAAGAGAATTTTTAAATATTTATAAATTTATCGGTAAATATTTTATGTATGCATTTCTTCATTCAAGGCCCTTCTACCCCAGGGGCCTTGATTTGATTCTGCACAACATGAGGTAGATTGAACATTTTATCGTTCAATGATAATTATCCTATTGACCCATGACACAGAGTGTTGACAATGTAGCAAAATGAACAGGGGCAGATAATTCTAATCTACATGTTTACTTATTATGGATTATTTTTTAGAATAAATGGCATATACAAGCTCTGGAAGGATTATTATGATTAATTTGGTACAATGAAGTTATTTTTTGTGTAACTCCATTGTATTCTTCAATATTATTTTGGAGTGGATCCGCTCCAATTTGCTACACTGCAACTTTCTGAAATATATTCTAACTGTGTCCTGAGACACAGTATGATTATTCTAACTATATGTGAGGCTGCTTGCATGGTTTAAATGAACTTGAATCAAATTGCCTGAGGATGCTGAAACATAGGACAAATTGTAGGTTTTGATAAGAATCTTGAAGATTTTTCCTATACAAATCTATGAAAACTTTGAATCCCTTTTGTGACCCCATAATGGCCCCTTGGGCCATGGTTTGATTACCAGTACTTAATGGTTCTTGAGAGGAAGATATTAGATGACTTTTCACTTTTTCATAATTTTCAAACTATCTTCCTCTGAAAAAGGGCCATAGATATCTGAATCCCAATCACCAAATGATGCTTTGTGGCATGCTGGTCAACATTTACAAAGGGGGAGAAGAAGTGAAGATTTTAGGCCAGAAGGTTGAAACACAACCCTGTCACTATCTGTTTGAGTTACTCCGTTGACTCAGGAGAGAGAGTGTGATTTTAATTTAGCACTTGTATAACTGGTATGTTTTAATCACATATGCATAATTTTACAAATCATTGACTTTATGATGCAAATTTACACATGTTTCATGACACCAGATAATTTTTATCATTTTTATACAAAAACTGTATAAAAGATATGATAAATATACCTGGTATAAAGATTTCTCCAGAATTGCCTCGTCCTTGTCACAAGGTAAGAATCACGACAGATAGCTGCAAATTTGCCCACAGCTTCTGGATCAATATATGCTGCTAGTGTAAACCACATATCTACTGGGTACACTCGTCTCCCTATACTGTCATCCTTCTTTCTGCTTTTCTTCAGAGTTCTTACAGGTTTTATCTCTGTTTTCAATTAGAAATTTCAATCAATAGCTTCCAAAACATAATTATACATCCATAGGACATGAATGTCCCACCTACTACTAGAACTATATTTGTACCTCATGAAGAAACAAGAGGTCCAAGTGCCACAATGCTCACTTGTGTAGCCTTGCTCTGCTGCTCTTGGAAAATTTGTTTTGAAATAACTTTGTCCTCTACTTTCCAATGAAAATATTGGACCCCACACTGTGGCCCCACCCTAGCTCTAAGGACCATGTCTTATTTAACTTCAATCCACATTACAATGGGATTCTCAATATCAGAGAGTCGGACTAGTGCGGCCTTGCTGTTCTGAGAAGAATTAATATTTTTTCCATATACACTTGTACTGTGGAATCATTTATTTCTTGGGGGTCAATGTTCGTGGACAAGCAAAATTTTACTTGTTCATGGGGATGTAATTTCATAGTTTACTCCTTTATATGGTAGATTCAATGAATATATATGTTTACAAAATAAATGTTTTTTGGGATGTAAATTTGTGGATAAGGGTGACCTACAAAACCCAAAAACATTGGTCCCCCATGAACAATTATGATTCCACAGTATAAATATTATATAAAATTTGATCCCCAATTTTAGCCCCACTCCCAACTCAATTGCTCATAATCTGAACAAACTTAAATCCACATGATGTAGGTATTATATAAATAGTGCACGTTTTTGAGGGTAACAGTTGAAATTGACACCCCAAGGAAAACCATTGTCAACCGACGCGTCAGCGGAGGTTGACAATGGTTTTCCAAGGGGTGTCAATTTCAACTGTTACCCTCAAAAAACGTGCACTATTTATTTTATTATACTGAATGTCTTATTGATTTCGGATGTCAAAAGAAAAATTCGGAGATCGTCGTTAAGTTCACGCTTAGAAAGCTTTCAAACTCCCCGCTTCTGTTTTTCTCAATAAGAATGCTTCGGAAAAGATTTACCAACCTCTTTATTGTTTGTTTGCTACTCAAAAATCCTTTATCGTCTAAAGTTTGCACTCGCAAGGATGTTTCGTCTGTCGTTTATTGTTTTCAAGTAAGCTACATCGGATACAAGCTTTTATTGACGTCGTTTATTCTGCTTCTTTCAAACGCACAACTGACGCTTTGAGAATTCTACGGTGAACCGTACGCGCATGATTTGAACGCATGTGACATTTTCGTAATGTTACCCGTTGTCAGATGTGTTGCTAACGCTGAGGGTAACATTACGGATTGTTAAATGCATCTAACCCAATCAGATTTTAGTATTTAACATGAAAGTATAATAAATTTGTATATCTCAGTTTGTTTTAATGTCACCCTGTTACTCTTGAAAGTTTCTTTTTGTATTCCTTATATACTTGCAAAAAAATTTAATGACCTCCCTAACCCCTGGGGCAATGATTTAAAGAAATATGAATCTGTACTTTGCATTAGAAAAACAAGTATTCCGAGTTTGATTAAAATGGTGCATGAAGTTTTCTGAGTAAATAAGATTAGAAGAAATCTATCATCTATCAAAGTACCAAGTGATGTAATATCTGAGTCCGAGTATTCACCTGAGCATTCACCTGATTCTTCAGCATCTATGTCAAACTCATCTAAATCTTTATCAAACCAGCTAACATCATCAACATCCATGTCTTTTCTTTGATCTGAGAAAAAGGAAAATATTGCACACTATACATGAGGGTCATTAAAATATTATGCAGACTTGTTGCACAGATAACATATTTGATGACAAAAATACCGAAAAAGTCACACACAATATAAAAGAATCTTTACATTCATGGTCAACAAAATTCCATTTCAAAGTATTGTAAATTCTTATCAATTTTGAGTGATTAGTTATGACCTATCATAAAGTTACTGCACAGTTTAAGTAAAATCTGCAATGTGAAAGGCATCATAAAAAACATGTGCACCTTCATTTTCTTAGTGAATTTTCTTCTGTGTTTGAAACACAGCATGTGTTACCCTAACATCCACATACCATTTCTGATTCAAATTGGAAACTACATAACTAGTATGGTATTTTAAATTTAGCTTGTTTTTAAACCCCAAAACTGCAGATATTTCTGAAATACTGTCACTCTCAATAATATTCTTAACTGTCCAGATCAAGTTTCGTCAAATTTATTTTCTTCCCCTCCCCTATGGCCTTTAACTTATATACTACCATCTGAAATTATCTTGCTATTTGTAAACAGGTGTGTGGTAAATCTCTGGTTGATCTGGGTCTCAATTAGCATTTTCCCAAGTACTGTTAGTACACAATTTGATAAAAGTGCACTGCTAAGTGAAATCACTTGACATTATTTTTGCTGTTGTTTTCATAGGAAACACTTCTGAGAAATATTACAATATTTCTGTTAAAACTTCAAATATTACCTAAGAAATATAAATGCATGATAATGTAACAATTAAAAAAACTTTAGAACAATATTTTACAATTGGACAATATTTAATTCAACTGAACTAACAAAAATGGACTTGAAATTTACATCATTAATTGACAAGATTTTGGAATGCACAACATCCAATCAGACAAGTTTTACCGTATGTTTCTCAGAGCTCGAAATAATTGATAAGAACAAAATATTTGTGGAGTATATTCTTAAACATTGTATTGTTTTCTACATGCTGTTTCATCATGGTGGAACGAGTTAATGATGTATTATGAAAACAAAAAATATGTGCAGTAAAAAAGGGGTATGCAGAATCTGAAAGTGTCAATACTAGAGGTGATTAAGAATCAAAATTCATTGGTGCAGAAATATGATTTTTTTAACTGTTGATTATTAAAATCAGAAAATAAACTCAAGGTTACATTAAATGTAGTCGGATTTCTACCCCCTCGCAACAAGTTGGAGCAGATATAGTAATACGCTTGTGTGGGTGAGTGAGTGCGTGCATAATGGAAGTTACCAGGATCGATGTGCTCTTTTGCCAGGGTATGCTCTGCCTTTCTGTGACCTTGTTTAAGCACTGGTTTTGGGCCATGTGACGGTACATATTGTCGTTTTGTACATATTGTCGTCTGCGATAATATGTACAAACCCTCACGGCACATATTGTCGTCCATCGGTACGTATTGTCGCCGGCGACAATATGTGCCGAGACAAGCCTTATTTTCTCCTGCATAATGGACGACAAAATGTACAGTCAAGAACCAGCACATATTGTCGTCGGCGACAATATGTACAGTCAAGGTCAGCACATATTGTCGTCGATATAGTGTTTTGATGAATATTTACTTGAGTAAGGAAAGGGTGATTGACAAACACACACACGCACGAAGGGAGACAGATAGCATTACTAGCAATACTATAGGGAAATTTTGGTCTTTGTGTCCAGGATTGATGTACTTCACTATGATTTGTCAAAGATTCCGTAATTCTTGATATATATGAAAAATAAGCCTATTCTTTTTTTCTTGTACTTTATACTTGGAGGATGAATACATGTATTAGTTTGTTTTTGTTTTTTTTTGTTCAGTAGTATTGATTATTTGGAAATCATTTTTGGCGTTATTCTTATATACAATCAGGTGCCATTATAATTGGTGTTGGGGTTGATACTTTTAGATCACCTGAACTGGAAATTCAAGGGAGCTTTTCTGATCACTTTTTGTCTGATTGTCCCTCCGTCTGTAAACTTTTCACAGTTTCAGCTTCTTGTCAAGAACTACTGGATCAATTTCAACCAATCTTGCGACAAAGCAGTCATGGATAAGGGGGAATCAGGTTTGTTCAAATGAAGGACCAAGCCCTATTTCAAGGGAAGTAGATAAGAATTTGTGATAATATAGTGACACCGTTTTTAAAAAATCTTCTCAAGAACCACTTTGTCAAAAAAGTTGAAACTTATGTGAAAGCTTCATTATGAAGTGTAGATTCAGTTTTATTCAGATCATGTCCATCGGAAGAAGGGTGTGGCTACATAAGGTGATCAAAGTTTTTCATAGAATATTTAGAAAAAAATCTTTCAAAATCTATTTTTCAAGAACTACTGGGTCAGAAGAAATGATACTTATGTGAAAACTTCATTACATAGCGTACGTTCAATTTTGATGCGCTAGGTGGCACGAAAAAGATCCCTCACTGCTCCATGACCCTGAGTGCCAAGTATAGGCATCATTCTGAAATTTCTTGATCCACCACTGAGAAACAGCAGTAGGCCCTTGATTAGTGATGTTCATATGGAAGCATCCTCAGGTAGCCCAGACTCGCGTATCTTTAAATCAAACTGGGCCTAGGGTGGGGCCACAACGGGTGATCAAAGTACATAGGAATATATGGGAAAATTCTTTAAAAATTATCTTCTCAAAAACAGGAAAACCGTGATTAATTATATTCAAATGGAGCATTTCCATTCATTGTCTTGCAACATGTTCTGATGGACGACAATATGCGCAGTGAGGGTAGGTACACATTGTCGCCGGCGACAATATGTACAGGACGACAAAATTTACCGTCACAATCACGCTGCATGAAATAGCAAATGAGACATGTCAGTGTGATTCACACACCAATTACATTCACAAAACTACCAAAAAACAACAAAAGAAATGTTTAAGCAACAATATCTGTGGGGCGACAATATGTACAGTGAGGGTGAGGCACATAATGTCGCCAGCGACAATATGTACATGTGTAACTTTTCAGCCGGCGACAATTTGTACCGATGGTCGACAATATGTACAGTGAGGGTAGGTACATATTGTCGCCGACGACAATATGTACAAAACGACAATATGTACCGTCACAGGTCAGTCTTTTTCTACCTACTAGCCTGATGGGAAAATGAAAGTTATCGATTGACCAGTAAAATTTTAAGTTGATAGTGTGAATGACCAGGGAAAAAAAAATTATTATTTTGAGCCCTGTTTCCGTAAAACTTCCGAGCATCATTTGATATAGATTTCTTGGGATGAAAATTTTTAATGTTACTCTCCAGTACAAGTAATATTTATTAAAAATAGTAATACACACTATAACTTAACTAGTAGTTTCATATCTACAAGCACTGCAACTCTGCAATTTATAGTCTTGAAAAATTTGGACATTTTATTGCAAACCCTCTAACAATGACAGTTGTCATGTGGTTATTGGATTGACATATATGAGGAGAAAAAAAACTTGGTCTGTTATCATCAACATAAAGATACACCTAAACTAAAAATCCAATTATTACATGTAGCTGTAAGCATTAAAGGGTTTTTATCACGTCTCAAAATTTTTTGATATGACAAAGTTTACATGCTATTAAAATCATGTATTTAAAAATCTTTGCTAGAAAATTAATATTTTTGATGTTTCAGCGTTTCAAAGTTTGAATTTCTCAATATGCATATTTTGATCGCCGATGTTACGCGCCATTGCTCTGACGTCATAGGTGTCAATCGTGGTCAAGCTAAGTACTTATTGTGTTTACAAAAGGGCTCATTTGTTGTGTCTATTAACCTGTTAGAAAATAATTAAGTGATAATTGAATAATTGACAGCTTGTAAGGTATAACTTATGGCTCTATGGTGCACAAATGTGCACAAGAAAGGTTTTAGGAAGAATTTCCCCCCACATTTCCTGGACTTGGTCGAGAGATGAAAGAGGGGCCTATCTCTGAAAATACGATCTGGCATTTATCTCCATTCAGAACAATCATTTATGCCCGATCGATCACGATTTTTTTTTCTGTCCTATAAAATGTTTTAAGGAAAGATACTTTTAAAAAAAATAATAAATGACAAACACGATTTTTTTTAAAAGTTGCAAAGAATCTAGTAGGAATGTTGTGAACTTCGTAATGGCATACGGCGCCATTGAAGAAGTGTCATTTCTAGTACATGATATTCACTGCTAGAACAGATAGAAGATATATAGGATTTATTTATTTATAATTAATTAATACAATAATGAAGGAAAATTTAAAATTCCCATACTTATAAATGTTTACAAAGTTAAACTTTAGTAATTCGTTCTATTTAGTCGAAGTCCCGAGTTGTCAACGGCTTCGTCTTCGGTGACCTCTCTCCAATTGTCGGCATTTTTTCTAGTTATTTCTCTCTGCTAGACGTTCATACCTAAAAGATTGACCGTCCATAACTAAAGGAATATAGTCAATGTCAAAATTTCAACCGGCCGTACTGTGTATTCTACTTATTTAGCGTAAAAATCTATTCAATATATTTTTTCTTACGATAAGCTTTACGAGTTCTATTGACACCTATGACGTTTCAGTACCACGTGACCCCTATCTAATCAGTGGAGATTTTTACTTCGAGGACCCTATATTACCGGCGTTTTATCGTCTAATTACGGCTGTTTTCAACATTATTTCATAATTAAACCAATATTATGTGTTTTAAGAATATAATAGTGTTTCATTTTTAAGAAATTTAGATACGTGATAAAAACCCTTTAAGTACTTTGAAAAAGTCTGGAAATGAATGAAAATAGGATAATGGGTGGGGGATTAAATAAGTGTATCATAGTATGTGAATACATAAGTATCTACACAATCTTACGTTTAATATTAGTTGATATAGACAAAATAGCCTTCTTCACTCTAGTTGTCCCTTGTTTTGGCACTTTAGATGAGTCAGCAAAATCACCAATTGTCACATCTGAAGAAAGTAAAAAAATCAAGTAAATTTTTTATCACATTCTCACCCCCTTTATTCAATGGATTTTAGTTTTAATATTGGATAAAGTTCTGAGGACTGACATGAATGCCAGACTTTCCAACACTTAGCAGGAGCAGTTTTGTACACTCCTAATTTTTGTATAAAAAATAGTATTTTGTGTGAGCATATGCATGGACTTCAAATTTAGATTGAGTCTTCATTTCTAAATGTCTTACTTTCGTTCTCTAGTCCAATTAGACCGATAATTGAATGTGCTTTCATATATTTGTGTGTTGTACTTAGCAGGTCTGGTACAATCATTTAATTGTGTAGCTTTATTTTGCAGAATTCAAAATAGCTTGATTTAGCTAGTTAATTTTTAATTTTTTTTCTGAAAAAACTGCATATAAATAGCTTTTATCAAGCTATATTGACTAGCTTAATAAAATTATATAGCTATTTCAAGCTATATAGCTAAATCAATAGATTGTGTTGGACCTGTTAAAATGAGACTTAATTAAGAAAACTTGTCCTTATCATTTATTTATCTTTTTCTTACTTTCCATGTGGGGGGGGGGGGGGTTAAAACATCGGCTAGAAAACCAGCTGTCATCGAAACATTTAATCCATTTATCATGAACGCCACATAGATGGACTTAATTAGGATCCAACAACCTGCTAAGCCTCTTTATGTTTCGATTCCGTAAGACAATTTCATTTTAACAACAGAAAAACTGAGAACGTAAACATAGCTTAGCAAAGTAACAAAAACCTTTATATAAAGTTCTGCTAAAGCTTAAAATAAAAATTCTACACCGGTTGCTATAATACATAATAAGTAAAATGCAGAAAAATCTAACCATTCTGTATCCCTTCTTCCGTGCCTATGTTATTAGGGTTAATCCTCTCTTTACCTTTTCTACATTTATTTCTTAACTTTTTTCTCATATTGTGAAAGGTATCACACCGGTAATTGACCAATCAAAATGAACTTAGTCAATTGTAGTTCCATACATATAAAATTAATTTTTCTTTCTTTTGATAATTTTTTTAATTTTCTTCCAGGCTATTTTTACAACTTTGGTACCTGTGCCTAGTAAATTTAATGTACTTTGTAAATAAATACAGTTTTTTGACAGGAACTATTTTTTTCAGGGCATAGGAGGCTACTTCCTGGGGTGCACTGGAGCTGTTTATAAACACATTGAAAACACGTGGATTTGAGGGTAGCCCTGTTTGCAGATGGAAAAAATCAGAAAATGCCGTGTAGGTACCCTGTTTTTTGGACTCGGCTAATGAGAGAGGTAATGTTTTATACTTCCTGCTAAATATTTTTTCATGAATTAATTTACCTGATTTTTTAAGAATTTTTTTCCTATATAGAAACATATAGTGAAAACAATTACCGGTGTGATACCTTGAAGGAGATTGTGTAAAATCATCTGCATCAATATAAAAGGTTGTTTTAATTTTTAAAAGGCATATTTCAACAAAATATGTCATTTTATGAAATTTCTGTGTGAAAGCACATATTTTAAAAATTAGAAGTAGGGTTGAATTGAATTTTTAGAGATTTCTGTGAAAAATACTTATAATATATCATGTTTTACCCTCAAAACTTTAAATTATGACTTTCAAAGTAGGATTATGCATCTGACATGTAGAAAGAAGTTAGAAAATGTTGGTTTTTTATTTTAGATGACTTTAAACTATGTGCACCACCTGACCGCAGTCAATTATAGTGTCTACAGACTTTGCCGTAAAAGTACTCTAGGCTGATTTTTTCAAGAAAAGACTAATTCTGGGTTTGCGAATGAGTTTTCAACAAAAGTGACAACTGCGATAAAATGTGAAGAAGTAAAACATTTTTTCACAGAGTGATAAATTTTACAGAGAGTGGATTTACTTTCATTTTATTCACCTGAAGTGATGCATGTATTACAGCAGTGGAGGAATATAAATAATGAAATGAGGTAAATTTGTCTAATAAAAAAAATGCACAAGTAAAATTTATTTAGAATTTTTCAAAAATAAGAAGCTTATGACCAAAAAATGCATAAATACTGTCAGGGCATGAGAGTGAATACTTATTCAGAGTTCTAATCATGTAGCACACATGTAGTACAGAATGTCACTTGGCACCATGGTATGCCTGTTATGGTTCTCTGGACTTTTTGCATGCTTACGCAGCTGACATCCATGATTTTTCAGTTTGTCGGAGAATGTGTTTTGTCATGTTAGCACTTTTATGTAGGTTTTGACCCTCTCTTTTAAATTAAGTCTCAGTCAGGATGCTTATTTCAGCATGATTTGTTAAGCATATTAATATACTGAAATATTAATAAATTACAAATTAAAGTGATGAAGAAATTTGACATATTTACACAATCAAAATATCAGAATAACCATAATTCAGCTAATAAAGTGTCCTGTTTTTCTTATGTCACTTCCTATAAATTTTATCAGCAGTTTTTGTACACCCACCCACCCCCAAGAACCATGTAGGATGGCCTGATATTAGTCTTTTTGTTGCATTTTTTCACATTTGAAAGTGTTAAAACTCATAAAAATGTTTAAGATTTATATTTTGGAATTTAAATGTTGAATTTTTATGTAAATTTGGTGAAACAAAAAGCTGTAATCTTGAATTAATCATGCAAATTCATCAAACACCTTTGGAATTCCTGAGTAATTCAATGAAAAGAGGATAATTATGCATGTTCAATTGGAATTTCATGGCTAATTTGTGTCTGCAGAGAAAGCCAGTTACATAAATCCAAACAATAAATTACATCTGAATTGTTTCCTCCATTTTCTTATCATCAAAGCAAGTTTAATGGAGTGTCAGAGCTGTCCAGATTCTCCCTAGGTGCTGATATCATTTGGACTGCCCTGTGTTACAACACAGCTTTTAGATAAACTTCTGCACATCAGCTTGTAGACAAGTACCTAGGCTTTATTTGGAACATAAATTGACCAGATGCAGATTTTATTATCAGTCTAATATTTAACAATTTCTGTGAATTCTGTCATTCTTAGGAGGGCAAAATGCAATTTTGTTATGTAATAATTGCATAATGGTCTCAGACTTGTGAACTATTTTTTGTTTGTTGTGAAGAACAATGTATATACTCTCCACGGATAAGAAATTGTTTGCCAGACTTAGTCTATTAATGATGAAATTCTGCTTCAAAATATGCACAAAAAAACTTCTGTCAGAGTGCTCTGTGTGTATTCTTGACTGCTCTGGAGTAAGGGAGATAAATGCATATATCTCCAGCAATAAGGGGAATTAGATCACCAAACTTAAGGATGTTGGTGGCAGTTATTTAAGAAATCTCAGGTGCAAAAATGAAAAAAATCTGACAACTTCAAGGGTCCTTCAAGGTATCACACCGGTAATTGACCAATCAAAATGAACTTAGTCAATTGTAGTTCCATACATATAAAATTAATTTTTCTTTCTTTTGATAATTTTTTTAATTTTCTTCCAGGCTATTTTTACAACTTTGGTACCTGTGCCTAGTAAATTTAATGTACTTTGTAAATAAATACAGTTTTTTGACAGGAACTATTTTTTTCAGGGCATAGGAGGCTACTTCCTGGGGTGCACTGGAGCTGTTTATAAACACATTGAAAACACGTGGATTTGAGGGTAGCCCTGTTTGCAGATGGAAAAAATCAGAAAATGCCGTGTAGGTACCCTGTTTTTTGGACTCGGCTAATGAGAGAGGTAATGTTTTATACTTCCTGCTAAATATTTTTTCATGAATTAATTTACCTGATTTTTTAAGAATTTTTTTCCTATATAGAAACATATAGTGAAAACAATTACCGGTGTGATACCTTGAAGGAGATTGTGTAAAATCATCTGCATCAATATAAAAGGTTGTTTTAATTTTTAAAAGGCATATTTCAACAAAATATGTCATTTTATGAAATTTCTGTGTGAAAGCACATATTTTAAAAATTAGAAGTAGGGTTGAATTGAATTTTTAGAGATTTCTGTGAAAAATACTTATAATATATCATGTTTTACCCTCAAAACTTTAAATTATGACTTTCAAAGTAGGATTATGCATCTGACATGTAGAAAGAAGTTAGAAAATGTTGGTTTTTTATTTTAGATGACTTTAAACTATGTGCACCACCTGACCGCAGTCAATTATAGTGTCTACAGACTTTGCCGTAAAAGTACTCTAGGCTGATTTTTTCAAGAAAAGACTAATTCTGGGTTTGCGAATGAGTTTTCAACAAAAGTGACAACTGCGATAAAATGTGAAGAAGTAAAACATTTTTTCACAGAGTGATAAATTTTACAGAGAGTGGATTTACTTTCATTTTATTCACCTGAAGTGATGCATGTATTACAGCAGTGGAGGAATATAAATAATGAAATGAGGTAAATTTGTCTAATAAAAAAAATGCACAAGTAAAATTTATTTAGAATTTTTCAAAAATAAGAAGCTTATGACCAAAAAATGCATAAATACTGTCAGGGCATGAGAGTGAATACTTATTCAGAGTTCTAATCATGTAGCACACATGTAGTACAGAATGTCACTTGGCACCATGGTATGCCTGTTATGGTTCTCTGGACTTTTTGCATGCTTACGCAGCTGACATCCATGATTTTTCAGTTTGTCGGAGAATGTGTTTTGTCATGTTAGCACTTTTATGTAGGTTTTGACCCTCTCTTTTAAATTAAGTCTCAGTCAGGATGCTTATTTCAGCATGATTTGTTAAGCATATTAATATACTGAAATATTAATAAATTACAAATTAAAGTGATGAAGAAATTTGACATATTTACACAATCAAAATATCAGAATAACCATAATTCAGCTAATAAAGTGTCCTGTTTTTCTTATGTCACTTCCTATAAATTTTATCAGCAGTTTTTGTACACCCACCCACCCCCAAGAACCATGTAGGATGGCCTGATATTAGTCTTTTTGTTGCATTTTTTCACATTTGAAAGTGTTAAAACTCATAAAAATGTTTAAGATTTATATTTTGGAATTTAAATGTTGAATTTTTATGTAAATTTGGTGAAACAAAAAGCTGTAATCTTGAATTAATCATGCAAATTCATCAAACACCTTTGGAATTCCTGAGTAATTCAATGAAAAGAGGATAATTATGCATGTTCAATTGGAATTTCATGGCTAATTTGTGTCTGCAGAGAAAGCCAGTTACATAAATCCAAACAATAAATTACATCTGAATTGTTTCCTCCATTTTCTTATCATCAAAGCAAGTTTAATGGAGTGTCAGAGCTGTCCAGATTCTCCCTAGGTGCTGATATCATTTGGACTGCCCTGTGTTACAACACAGCTTTTAGATAAACTTCTGCACATCAGCTTGTAGACAAGTACCTAGGCTTTATTTGGAACATAAATTGACCAGATGCAGATTTTATTATCAGTCTAATATTTAACAATTTCTGTGAATTCTGTCATTCTTAGGAGGGCAAAATGCAATTTTGTTATGTAATAATTGCATAATGGTCTCAGACTTGTGAACTATTTTTTGTTTGTTGTGAAGAACAATGTATATACTCTCCACGGATAAGAAATTGTTTGCCAGACTTAGTCTATTAATGATGAAATTCTGCTTCAAAATATGCACAAAAAAACTTCTGTCAGAGTGCTCTGTGTGTATTCTTGACTGCTCTGGAGTAAGGGAGATAAATGCATATATCTCCAGCAATAAGGGGAATTAGATCACCAAACTTAAGGATGTTGGTGGCAGTTATTTAAGAAATCTCAGGTGCAAAAATGAAAAAAATCTGACAACTTCAAGGGTCCTTCAAGGTATCACACCGGTAATTGACCAATCAAAATGAACTTAGTCAATTGTAGTTCCATACATATAAAATTAATTTTTCTTTCTTTTGATAATTTTTTTAATTTTCTTCCAGGCTATTTTTACAACTTTGGTACCTGTGCCTAGTAAATTTAATGTACTTTGTAAATAAATACAGTTTTTTGACAGGAACTATTTTTTTCAGGGCATAGGAGGCTACTTCCTGGGGTGCACTGGAGCTGTTTATAAACACATTGAAAACACGTGGATTTGAGGGTAGCCCTGTTTGCAGATGGAAAAAATCAGAAAATGCCGTGTAGGTACCCTGTTTTTTGGACTCGGCTAATGAGAGAGGTAATGTTTTATACTTCCTGCTAAATATTTTTTCATGAATTAATTTACCTGATTTTTTAAGAATTTTTTTCCTATATAGAAACATATAGTGAAAACAATTACCGGTGTGATACCTTGAAGGAGATTGTGTAAAATCATCTGCATCAATATAAAAGGTTGTTTTAATTTTTAAAAGGCATATTTCAACAAAATATGTCATTTTATGAAATTTCTGTGTGAAAGCACATATTTTAAAAATTAGAAGTAGGGTTGAATTGAATTTTTAGAGATTTCTGTGAAAAATACTTATAATATATCATGTTTTACCCTCAAAACTTTAAATTATGACTTTCAAAGTAGGATTATGCATCTGACATGTAGAAAGAAGTTAGAAAATGTTGGTTTTTTATTTTAGATGACTTTAAACTATGTGCACCACCTGACCGCAGTCAATTATAGTGTCTACAGACTTTGCCGTAAAAGTACTCTAGGCTGATTTTTTCAAGAAAAGACTAATTCTGGGTTTGCGAATGAGTTTTCAACAAAAGTGACAACTGCGATAAAATGTGAAGAAGTAAAACATTTTTTCACAGAGTGATAAATTTTACAGAGAGTGGATTTACTTTCATTTTATTCACCTGAAGTGATGCATGTATTACAGCAGTGGAGGAATATAAATAATGAAATGAGGTAAATTTGTCTAATAAAAAAAATGCACAAGTAAAATTTATTTAGAATTTTTCAAAAATAAGAAGCTTATGACCAAAAAATGCATAAATACTGTCAGGGCATGAGAGTGAATACTTATTCAGAGTTCTAATCATGTAGCACACATGTAGTACAGAATGTCACTTGGCACCATGGTATGCCTGTTATGGTTCTCTGGACTTTTTGCATGCTTACGCAGCTGACATCCATGATTTTTCAGTTTGTCGGAGAATGTGTTTTGTCATGTTAGCACTTTTATGTAGGTTTTGACCCTCTCTTTTAAATTAAGTCTCAGTCAGGATGCTTATTTCAGCATGATTTGTTAAGCATATTAATATACTGAAATATTAATAAATTACAAATTAAAGTGATGAAGAAATTTGACATATTTACACAATCAAAATATCAGAATAACCATAATTCAGCTAATAAAGTGTCCTGTTTTTCTTATGTCACTTCCTATAAATTTTATCAGCAGTTTTTGTACACCCACCCACCCCCAAGAACCATGTAGGATGGCCTGATATTAGTCTTTTTGTTGCATTTTTTCACATTTGAAAGTGTTAAAACTCATAAAAATGTTTAAGATTTATATTTTGGAATTTAAATGTTGAATTTTTATGTAAATTTGGTGAAACAAAAAGCTGTAATCTTGAATTAATCATGCAAATTCATCAAACACCTTTGGAATTCCTGAGTAATTCAATGAAAAGAGGATAATTATGCATGTTCAATTGGAATTTCATGGCTAATTTGTGTCTGCAGAGAAAGCCAGTTACATAAATCCAAACAATAAATTACATCTGAATTGTTTCCTCCATTTTCTTATCATCAAAGCAAGTTTAATGGAGTGTCAGAGCTGTCCAGATTCTCCCTAGGTGCTGATATCATTTGGACTGCCCTGTGTTACAACACAGCTTTTAGATAAACTTCTGCACATCAGCTTGTAGACAAGTACCTAGGCTTTATTTGGAACATAAATTGACCAGATGCAGATTTTATTATCAGTCTAATATTTAACAATTTCTGTGAATTCTGTCATTCTTAGGAGGGCAAAATGCAATTTTGTTATGTAATAATTGCATAATGGTCTCAGACTTGTGAACTATTTTTTGTTTGTTGTGAAGAACAATGTATATACTCTCCACGGATAAGAAATTGTTTGCCAGACTTAGTCTATTAATGATGAAATTCTGCTTCAAAATATGCACAAAAAAACTTCTGTCAGAGTGCTCTGTGTGTATTCTTGACTGCTCTGGAGTAAGGGAGATAAATGCATATATCTCCAGCAATAAGGGGAATTAGATCACCAAACTTAAGGATGTTGGTGGCAGTTATTTAAGAAATCTCAGGTGCAAAAATGAAAAAAATCTGACAACTTCAAGGGTCCTTCAAGGTATCACACCGGTAATTGACCAATCAAAATGAACTTAGTCAATTGTAGTTCCATACATATAAAATTAATTTTTCTTTCTTTTGATAATTTTTTTAATTTTCTTCCAGGCTATTTTTACAACTTTGGTACCTGTGCCTAGTAAATTTAATGTACTTTGTAAATAAATACAGTTTTTTGACAGGAACTATTTTTTTCAGGGCATAGGAGGCTACTTCCTGGGGTGCACTGGAGCTGTTTATAAACACATTGAAAACACGTGGATTTGAGGGTAGCCCTGTTTGCAGATGGAAAAAATCAGAAAATGCCGTGTAGGTACCCTGTTTTTTGGACTCGGCTAATGAGAGAGGTAATGTTTTATACTTCCTGCTAAATATTTTTTCATGAATTAATTTACCTGATTTTTTAAGAATTTTTTTCCTATATAGAAACATATAGTGAAAACAATTACCGGTGTGATACCTTGAAGGAGATTGTGTAAAATCATCTGCATCAATATAAAAGGTTGTTTTAATTTTTAAAAGGCATATTTCAACAAAATATGTCATTTTATGAAATTTCTGTGTGAAAGCACATATTTTAAAAATTAGAAGTAGGGTTGAATTGAATTTTTAGAGATTTCTGTGAAAAATACTTATAATATATCATGTTTTACCCTCAAAACTTTAAATTATGACTTTCAAAGTAGGATTATGCATCTGACATGTAGAAAGAAGTTAGAAAATGTTGGTTTTTTATTTTAGATGACTTTAAACTATGTGCACCACCTGACCGCAGTCAATTATAGTGTCTACAGACTTTGCCGTAAAAGTACTCTAGGCTGATTTTTTCAAGAAAAGACTAATTCTGGGTTTGCGAATGAGTTTTCAACAAAAGTGACAACTGCGATAAAATGTGAAGAAGTAAAACATTTTTTCACAGAGTGATAAATTTTACAGAGAGTGGATTTACTTTCATTTTATTCACCTGAAGTGATGCATGTATTACAGCAGTGGAGGAATATAAATAATGAAATGAGGTAAATTTGTCTAATAAAAAAAATGCACAAGTAAAATTTATTTAGAATTTTTCAAAAATAAGAAGCTTATGACCAAAAAATGCATAAATACTGTCAGGGCATGAGAGTGAATACTTATTCAGAGTTCTAATCATGTAGCACACATGTAGTACAGAATGTCACTTGGCACCATGGTATGCCTGTTATGGTTCTCTGGACTTTTTGCATGCTTACGCAGCTGACATCCATGATTTTTCAGTTTGTCGGAGAATGTGTTTTGTCATGTTAGCACTTTTATGTAGGTTTTGACCCTCTCTTTTAAATTAAGTCTCAGTCAGGATGCTTATTTCAGCATGATTTGTTAAGCATATTAATATACTGAAATATTAATAAATTACAAATTAAAGTGATGAAGAAATTTGACATATTTACACAATCAAAATATCAGAATAACCATAATTCAGCTAATAAAGTGTCCTGTTTTTCTTATGTCACTTCCTATAAATTTTATCAGCAGTTTTTGTACACCCACCCACCCCCAAGAACCATGTAGGATGGCCTGATATTAGTCTTTTTGTTGCATTTTTTCACATTTGAAAGTGTTAAAACTCATAAAAATGTTTAAGATTTATATTTTGGAATTTAAATGTTGAATTTTTATGTAAATTTGGTGAAACAAAAAGCTGTAATCTTGAATTAATCATGCAAATTCATCAAACACCTTTGGAATTCCTGAGTAATTCAATGAAAAGAGGATAATTATGCATGTTCAATTGGAATTTCATGGCTAATTTGTGTCTGCAGAGAAAGCCAGTTACATAAATCCAAACAATAAATTACATCTGAATTGTTTCCTCCATTTTCTTATCATCAAAGCAAGTTTAATGGAGTGTCAGAGCTGTCCAGATTCTCCCTAGGTGCTGATATCATTTGGACTGCCCTGTGTTACAACACAGCTTTTAGATAAACTTCTGCACATCAGCTTGTAGACAAGTACCTAGGCTTTATTTGGAACATAAATTGACCAGATGCAGATTTTATTATCAGTCTAATATTTAACAATTTCTGTGAATTCTGTCATTCTTAGGAGGGCAAAATGCAATTTTGTTATGTAATAATTGCATAATGGTCTCAGACTTGTGAACTATTTTTTGTTTGTTGTGAAGAACAATGTATATACTCTCCACGGATAAGAAATTGTTTGCCAGACTTAGTCTATTAATGATGAAATTCTGCTTCAAAATATGCACAAAAAAACTTCTGTCAGAGTGCTCTGTGTGTATTCTTGACTGCTCTGGAGTAAGGGAGATAAATGCATATATCTCCAGCAATAAGGGGAATTAGATCACCAAACTTAAGGATGTTGGTGGCAGTTATTTAAGAAATCTCAGGTGCAAAAATGAAAAAAATCTGACAACTTCAAGGGTCCTTCAAGGTATCACACCGGTAATTGACCAATCAAAATGAACTTAGTCAATTGTAGTTCCATACATATAAAATTAATTTTTCTTTCTTTTGATAATTTTTTTAATTTTCTTCCAGGCTATTTTTACAACTTTGGTACCTGTGCCTAGTAAATTTAATGTACTTTGTAAATAAATACAGTTTTTTGACAGGAACTATTTTTTTCAGGGCATAGGAGGCTACTTCCTGGGGTGCACTGGAGCTGTTTATAAACACATTGAAAACACGTGGATTTGAGGGTAGCCCTGTTTGCAGATGGAAAAAATCAGAAAATGCCGTGTAGGTACCCTGTTTTTTGGACTCGGCTAATGAGAGAGGTAATGTTTTATACTTCCTGCTAAATATTTTTTCATGAATTAATTTACCTGATTTTTTAAGAATTTTTTTCCTATATAGAAACATATAGTGAAAACAATTACCGGTGTGATACCTTGAAGGAGATTGTGTAAAATCATCTGCATCAATATAAAAGGTTGTTTTAATTTTTAAAAGGCATATTTCAACAAAATATGTCATTTTATGAAATTTCTGTGTGAAAGCACATATTTTAAAAATTAGAAGTAGGGTTGAATTGAATTTTTAGAGATTTCTGTGAAAAATACTTATAATATATCATGTTTTACCCTCAAAACTTTAAATTATGACTTTCAAAGTAGGATTATGCATCTGACATGTAGAAAGAAGTTAGAAAATGTTGGTTTTTTATTTTAGATGACTTTAAACTATGTGCACCACCTGACCGCAGTCAATTATAGTGTCTACAGACTTTGCCGTAAAAGTACTCTAGGCTGATTTTTTCAAGAAAAGACTAATTCTGGGTTTGCGAATGAGTTTTCAACAAAAGTGACAACTGCGATAAAATGTGAAGAAGTAAAACATTTTTTCACAGAGTGATAAATTTTACAGAGAGTGGATTTACTTTCATTTTATTCACCTGAAGTGATGCATGTATTACAGCAGTGGAGGAATATAAATAATGAAATGAGGTAAATTTGTCTAATAAAAAAAATGCACAAGTAAAATTTATTTAGAATTTTTCAAAAATAAGAAGCTTATGACCAAAAAATGCATAAATACTGTCAGGGCATGAGAGTGAATACTTATTCAGAGTTCTAATCATGTAGCACACATGTAGTACAGAATGTCACTTGGCACCATGGTATGCCTGTTATGGTTCTCTGGACTTTTTGCATGCTTACGCAGCTGACATCCATGATTTTTCAGTTTGTCGGAGAATGTGTTTTGTCATGTTAGCACTTTTATGTAGGTTTTGACCCTCTCTTTTAAATTAAGTCTCAGTCAGGATGCTTATTTCAGCATGATTTGTTAAGCATATTAATATACTGAAATATTAATAAATTACAAATTAAAGTGATGAAGAAATTTGACATATTTACACAATCAAAATATCAGAATAACCATAATTCAGCTAATAAAGTGTCCTGTTTTTCTTATGTCACTTCCTATAAATTTTATCAGCAGTTTTTGTACACCCACCCACCCCCAAGAACCATGTAGGATGGCCTGATATTAGTCTTTTTGTTGCATTTTTTCACATTTGAAAGTGTTAAAACTCATAAAAATGTTTAAGATTTATATTTTGGAATTTAAATGTTGAATTTTTATGTAAATTTGGTGAAACAAAAAGCTGTAATCTTGAATTAATCATGCAAATTCATCAAACACCTTTGGAATTCCTGAGTAATTCAATGAAAAGAGGATAATTATGCATGTTCAATTGGAATTTCATGGCTAATTTGTGTCTGCAGAGAAAGCCAGTTACATAAATCCAAACAATAAATTACATCTGAATTGTTTCCTCCATTTTCTTATCATCAAAGCAAGTTTAATGGAGTGTCAGAGCTGTCCAGATTCTCCCTAGGTGCTGATATCATTTGGACTGCCCTGTGTTACAACACAGCTTTTAGATAAACTTCTGCACATCAGCTTGTAGACAAGTACCTAGGCTTTATTTGGAACATAAATTGACCAGATGCAGATTTTATTATCAGTCTAATATTTAACAATTTCTGTGAATTCTGTCATTCTTAGGAGGGCAAAATGCAATTTTGTTATGTAATAATTGCATAATGGTCTCAGACTTGTGAACTATTTTTTGTTTGTTGTGAAGAACAATGTATATACTCTCCACGGATAAGAAATTGTTTGCCAGACTTAGTCTATTAATGATGAAATTCTGCTTCAAAATATGCACAAAAAAACTTCTGTCAGAGTGCTCTGTGTGTATTCTTGACTGCTCTGGAGTAAGGGAGATAAATGCATATATCTCCAGCAATAAGGGGAATTAGATCACCAAACTTAAGGATGTTGGTGGCAGTTATTTAAGAAATCTCAGGTGCAAAAATGAAAAAAATCTGACAACTTCAAGGGTCCTTCAAGGTATCACACCGGTAATTGACCAATCAAAATGAACTTAGTCAATTGTAGTTCCATACATATAAAATTAATTTTTCTTTCTTTTGATAATTTTTTTAATTTTCTTCCAGGCTATTTTTACAACTTTGGTACCTGTGCCTAGTAAATTTAATGTACTTTGTAAATAAATACAGTTTTTTGACAGGAACTATTTTTTTCAGGGCATAGGAGGCTACTTCCTGGGGTGCACTGGAGCTGTTTATAAACACATTGAAAACACGTGGATTTGAGGGTAGCCCTGTTTGCAGATGGAAAAAATCAGAAAATGCCGTGTAGGTACCCTGTTTTTTGGACTCGGCTAATGAGAGAGGTAATGTTTTATACTTCCTGCTAAATATTTTTTCATGAATTAATTTACCTGATTTTTTAAGAATTTTTTTCCTATATAGAAACATATAGTGAAAACAATTACCGGTGTGATACCTTGAAGGAGATTGTGTAAAATCATCTGCATCAATATAAAAGGTTGTTTTAATTTTTAAAAGGCATATTTCAACAAAATATGTCATTTTATGAAATTTCTGTGTGAAAGCACATATTTTAAAAATTAGAAGTAGGGTTGAATTGAATTTTTAGAGATTTCTGTGAAAAATACTTATAATATATCATGTTTTACCCTCAAAACTTTAAATTATGACTTTCAAAGTAGGATTATGCATCTGACATGTAGAAAGAAGTTAGAAAATGTTGGTTTTTTATTTTAGATGACTTTAAACTATGTGCACCACCTGACCGCAGTCAATTATAGTGTCTACAGACTTTGCCGTAAAAGTACTCTAGGCTGATTTTTTCAAGAAAAGACTAATTCTGGGTTTGCGAATGAGTTTTCAACAAAAGTGACAACTGCGATAAAATGTGAAGAAGTAAAACATTTTTTCACAGAGTGATAAATTTTACAGAGAGTGGATTTACTTTCATTTTATTCACCTGAAGTGATGCATGTATTACAGCAGTGGAGGAATATAAATAATGAAATGAGGTAAATTTGTCTAATAAAAAAAATGCACAAGTAAAATTTATTTAGAATTTTTCAAAAATAAGAAGCTTATGACCAAAAAATGCATAAATACTGTCAGGGCATGAGAGTGAATACTTATTCAGAGTTCTAATCATGTAGCACACATGTAGTACAGAATGTCACTTGGCACCATGGTATGCCTGTTATGGTTCTCTGGACTTTTTGCATGCTTACGCAGCTGACATCCATGATTTTTCAGTTTGTCGGAGAATGTGTTTTGTCATGTTAGCACTTTTATGTAGGTTTTGACCCTCTCTTTTAAATTAAGTCTCAGTCAGGATGCTTATTTCAGCATGATTTGTTAAGCATATTAATATACTGAAATATTAATAAATTACAAATTAAAGTGATGAAGAAATTTGACATATTTACACAATCAAAATATCAGAATAACCATAATTCAGCTAATAAAGTGTCCTGTTTTTCTTATGTCACTTCCTATAAATTTTATCAGCAGTTTTTGTACACCCACCCACCCCCAAGAACCATGTAGGATGGCCTGATATTAGTCTTTTTGTTGCATTTTTTCACATTTGAAAGTGTTAAAACTCATAAAAATGTTTAAGATTTATATTTTGGAATTTAAATGTTGAATTTTTATGTAAATTTGGTGAAACAAAAAGCTGTAATCTTGAATTAATCATGCAAATTCATCAAACACCTTTGGAATTCCTGAGTAATTCAATGAAAAGAGGATAATTATGCATGTTCAATTGGAATTTCATGGCTAATTTGTGTCTGCAGAGAAAGCCAGTTACATAAATCCAAACAATAAATTACATCTGAATTGTTTCCTCCATTTTCTTATCATCAAAGCAAGTTTAATGGAGTGTCAGAGCTGTCCAGATTCTCCCTAGGTGCTGATATCATTTGGACTGCCCTGTGTTACAACACAGCTTTTAGATAAACTTCTGCACATCAGCTTGTAGACAAGTACCTAGGCTTTATTTGGAACATAAATTGACCAGATGCAGATTTTATTATCAGTCTAATATTTAACAATTTCTGTGAATTCTGTCATTCTTAGGAGGGCAAAATGCAATTTTGTTATGTAATAATTGCATAATGGTCTCAGACTTGTGAACTATTTTTTGTTTGTTGTGAAGAACAATGTATATACTCTCCACGGATAAGAAATTGTTTGCCAGACTTAGTCTATTAATGATGAAATTCTGCTTCAAAATATGCACAAAAAAACTTCTGTCAGAGTGCTCTGTGTGTATTCTTGACTGCTCTGGAGTAAGGGAGATAAATGCATATATCTCCAGCAATAAGGGGAATTAGATCACCAAACTTAAGGATGTTGGTGGCAGTTATTTAAGAAATCTCAGGTGCAAAAATGAAAAAAATCTGACAACTTCAAGGGTCCTTCAAGGTATCACACCGGTAATTGACCAATCAAAATGAACTTAGTCAATTGTAGTTCCATACATATAAAATTAATTTTTCTTTCTTTTGATAATTTTTTTAATTTTCTTCCAGGCTATTTTTACAACTTTGGTACCTGTGCCTAGTAAATTTAATGTACTTTGTAAATAAATACAGTTTTTTGACAGGAACTATTTTTTTCAGGGCATAGGAGGCTACTTCCTGGGGTGCACTGGAGCTGTTTATAAACACATTGAAAACACGTGGATTTGAGGGTAGCCCTGTTTGCAGATGGAAAAAATCAGAAAATGCCGTGTAGGTACCCTGTTTTTTGGACTCGGCTAATGAGAGAGGTAATGTTTTATACTTCCTGCTAAATATTTTTTCATGAATTAATTTACCTGATTTTTTAAGAATTTTTTTCCTATATAGAAACATATAGTGAAAACAATTACCGGTGTGATACCTTGAAGGAGATTGTGTAAAATCATCTGCATCAATATAAAAGGTTGTTTTAATTTTTAAAAGGCATATTTCAACAAAATATGTCATTTTATGAAATTTCTGTGTGAAAGCACATATTTTAAAAATTAGAAGTAGGGTTGAATTGAATTTTTAGAGATTTCTGTGAAAAATACTTATAATATATCATGTTTTACCCTCAAAACTTTAAATTATGACTTTCAAAGTAGGATTATGCATCTGACATGTAGAAAGAAGTTAGAAAATGTTGGTTTTTTATTTTAGATGACTTTAAACTATGTGCACCACCTGACCGCAGTCAATTATAGTGTCTACAGACTTTGCCGTAAAAGTACTCTAGGCTGATTTTTTCAAGAAAAGACTAATTCTGGGTTTGCGAATGAGTTTTCAACAAAAGTGACAACTGCGATAAAATGTGAAGAAGTAAAACATTTTTTCACAGAGTGATAAATTTTACAGAGAGTGGATTTACTTTCATTTTATTCACCTGAAGTGATGCATGTATTACAGCAGTGGAGGAATATAAATAATGAAATGAGGTAAATTTGTCTAATAAAAAAAATGCACAAGTAAAATTTATTTAGAATTTTTCAAAAATAAGAAGCTTATGACCAAAAAATGCATAAATACTGTCAGGGCATGAGAGTGAATACTTATTCAGAGTTCTAATCATGTAGCACACATGTAGTACAGAATGTCACTTGGCACCATGGTATGCCTGTTATGGTTCTCTGGACTTTTTGCATGCTTACGCAGCTGACATCCATGATTTTTCAGTTTGTCGGAGAATGTGTTTTGTCATGTTAGCACTTTTATGTAGGTTTTGACCCTCTCTTTTAAATTAAGTCTCAGTCAGGATGCTTATTTCAGCATGATTTGTTAAGCATATTAATATACTGAAATATTAATAAATTACAAATTAAAGTGATGAAGAAATTTGACATATTTACACAATCAAAATATCAGAATAACCATAATTCAGCTAATAAAGTGTCCTGTTTTTCTTATGTCACTTCCTATAAATTTTATCAGCAGTTTTTGTACACCCACCCACCCCCAAGAACCATGTAGGATGGCCTGATATTAGTCTTTTTGTTGCATTTTTTCACATTTGAAAGTGTTAAAACTCATAAAAATGTTTAAGATTTATATTTTGGAATTTAAATGTTGAATTTTTATGTAAATTTGGTGAAACAAAAAGCTGTAATCTTGAATTAATCATGCAAATTCATCAAACACCTTTGGAATTCCTGAGTAATTCAATGAAAAGAGGATAATTATGCATGTTCAATTGGAATTTCATGGCTAATTTGTGTCTGCAGAGAAAGCCAGTTACATAAATCCAAACAATAAATTACATCTGAATTGTTTCCTCCATTTTCTTATCATCAAAGCAAGTTTAATGGAGTGTCAGAGCTGTCCAGATTCTCCCTAGGTGCTGATATCATTTGGACTGCCCTGTGTTACAACACAGCTTTTAGATAAACTTCTGCACATCAGCTTGTAGACAAGTACCTAGGCTTTATTTGGAACATAAATTGACCAGATGCAGATTTTATTATCAGTCTAATATTTAACAATTTCTGTGAATTCTGTCATTCTTAGGAGGGCAAAATGCAATTTTGTTATGTAATAATTGCATAATGGTCTCAGACTTGTGAACTATTTTTTGTTTGTTGTGAAGAACAATGTATATACTCTCCACGGATAAGAAATTGTTTGCCAGACTTAGTCTATTAATGATGAAATTCTGCTTCAAAATATGCACAAAAAAACTTCTGTCAGAGTGCTCTGTGTGTATTCTTGACTGCTCTGGAGTAAGGGAGATAAATGCATATATCTCCAGCAATAAGGGGAATTAGATCACCAAACTTAAGGATGTTGGTGGCAGTTATTTAAGAAATCTCAGGTGCAAAAATGAAAAAAATCTGACAACTTCAAGGGTCCTTCAAGGTATCACACCGGTAATTGACCAATCAAAATGAACTTAGTCAATTGTAGTTCCATACATATAAAATTAATTTTTCTTTCTTTTGATAATTTTTTTAATTTTCTTCCAGGCTATTTTTACAACTTTGGTACCTGTGCCTAGTAAATTTAATGTACTTTGTAAATAAATACAGTTTTTTGACAGGAACTATTTTTTTCAGGGCATAGGAGGCTACTTCCTGGGGTGCACTGGAGCTGTTTATAAACACATTGAAAACACGTGGATTTGAGGGTAGCCCTGTTTGCAGATGGAAAAAATCAGAAAATGCCGTGTAGGTACCCTGTTTTTTGGACTCGGCTAATGAGAGAGGTAATGTTTTATACTTCCTGCTAAATATTTTTTCATGAATTAATTTACCTGATTTTTTAAGAATTTTTTTCCTATATAGAAACATATAGTGAAAACAATTACCGGTGTGATACCTTGAAGGAGATTGTGTAAAATCATCTGCATCAATATAAAAGGTTGTTTTAATTTTTAAAAGGCATATTTCAACAAAATATGTCATTTTATGAAATTTCTGTGTGAAAGCACATATTTTAAAAATTAGAAGTAGGGTTGAATTGAATTTTTAGAGATTTCTGTGAAAAATACTTATAATATATCATGTTTTACCCTCAAAACTTTAAATTATGACTTTCAAAGTAGGATTATGCATCTGACATGTAGAAAGAAGTTAGAAAATGTTGGTTTTTTATTTTAGATGACTTTAAACTATGTGCACCACCTGACCGCAGTCAATTATAGTGTCTACAGACTTTGCCGTAAAAGTACTCTAGGCTGATTTTTTCAAGAAAAGACTAATTCTGGGTTTGCGAATGAGTTTTCAACAAAAGTGACAACTGCGATAAAATGTGAAGAAGTAAAACATTTTTTCACAGAGTGATAAATTTTACAGAGAGTGGATTTACTTTCATTTTATTCACCTGAAGTGATGCATGTATTACAGCAGTGGAGGAATATAAATAATGAAATGAGGTAAATTTGTCTAATAAAAAAAATGCACAAGTAAAATTTATTTAGAATTTTTCAAAAATAAGAAGCTTATGACCAAAAAATGCATAAATACTGTCAGGGCATGAGAGTGAATACTTATTCAGAGTTCTAATCATGTAGCACACATGTAGTACAGAATGTCACTTGGCACCATGGTATGCCTGTTATGGTTCTCTGGACTTTTTGCATGCTTACGCAGCTGACATCCATGATTTTTCAGTTTGTCGGAGAATGTGTTTTGTCATGTTAGCACTTTTATGTAGGTTTTGACCCTCTCTTTTAAATTAAGTCTCAGTCAGGATGCTTATTTCAGCATGATTTGTTAAGCATATTAATATACTGAAATATTAATAAATTACAAATTAAAGTGATGAAGAAATTTGACATATTTACACAATCAAAATATCAGAATAACCATAATTCAGCTAATAAAGTGTCCTGTTTTTCTTATGTCACTTCCTATAAATTTTATCAGCAGTTTTTGTACACCCACCCACCCCCAAGAACCATGTAGGATGGCCTGATATTAGTCTTTTTGTTGCATTTTTTCACATTTGAAAGTGTTAAAACTCATAAAAATGTTTAAGATTTATATTTTGGAATTTAAATGTTGAATTTTTATGTAAATTTGGTGAAACAAAAAGCTGTAATCTTGAATTAATCATGCAAATTCATCAAACACCTTTGGAATTCCTGAGTAATTCAATGAAAAGAGGATAATTATGCATGTTCAATTGGAATTTCATGGCTAATTTGTGTCTGCAGAGAAAGCCAGTTACATAAATCCAAACAATAAATTACATCTGAATTGTTTCCTCCATTTTCTTATCATCAAAGCAAGTTTAATGGAGTGTCAGAGCTGTCCAGATTCTCCCTAGGTGCTGATATCATTTGGACTGCCCTGTGTTACAACACAGCTTTTAGATAAACTTCTGCACATCAGCTTGTAGACAAGTACCTAGGCTTTATTTGGAACATAAATTGACCAGATGCAGATTTTATTATCAGTCTAATATTTAACAATTTCTGTGAATTCTGTCATTCTTAGGAGGGCAAAATGCAATTTTGTTATGTAATAATTGCATAATGGTCTCAGACTTGTGAACTATTTTTTGTTTGTTGTGAAGAACAATGTATATACTCTCCACGGATAAGAAATTGTTTGCCAGACTTAGTCTATTAATGATGAAATTCTGCTTCAAAATATGCACAAAAAAACTTCTGTCAGAGTGCTCTGTGTGTATTCTTGACTGCTCTGGAGTAAGGGAGATAAATGCATATATCTCCAGCAATAAGGGGAATTAGATCACCAAACTTAAGGATGTTGGTGGCAGTTATTTAAGAAATCTCAGGTGCAAAAATGAAAAAAATCTGACAACTTCAAGGGTCCTTCAAGGTATCACACCGGTAATTGACCAATCAAAATGAACTTAGTCAATTGTAGTTCCATACATATAAAATTAATTTTTCTTTCTTTTGATAATTTTTTTAATTTTCTTCCAGGCTATTTTTACAACTTTGGTACCTGTGCCTAGTAAATTTAATGTACTTTGTAAATAAATACAGTTTTTTGACAGGAACTATTTTTTTCAGGGCATAGGAGGCTACTTCCTGGGGTGCACTGGAGCTGTTTATAAACACATTGAAAACACGTGGATTTGAGGGTAGCCCTGTTTGCAGATGGAAAAAATCAGAAAATGCCGTGTAGGTACCCTGTTTTTTGGACTCGGCTAATGAGAGAGGTAATGTTTTATACTTCCTGCTAAATATTTTTTCATGAATTAATTTACCTGATTTTTTAAGAATTTTTTTCCTATATAGAAACATATAGTGAAAACAATTACCGGTGTGATACCTTGAAGGAGATTGTGTAAAATCATCTGCATCAATATAAAAGGTTGTTTTAATTTTTAAAAGGCATATTTCAACAAAATATGTCATTTTATGAAATTTCTGTGTGAAAGCACATATTTTAAAAATTAGAAGTAGGGTTGAATTGAATTTTTAGAGATTTCTGTGAAAAATACTTATAATATATCATGTTTTACCCTCAAAACTTTAAATTATGACTTTCAAAGTAGGATTATGCATCTGACATGTAGAAAGAAGTTAGAAAATGTTGGTTTTTTATTTTAGATGACTTTAAACTATGTGCACCACCTGACCGCAGTCAATTATAGTGTCTACAGACTTTGCCGTAAAAGTACTCTAGGCTGATTTTTTCAAGAAAAGACTAATTCTGGGTTTGCGAATGAGTTTTCAACAAAAGTGACAACTGCGATAAAATGTGAAGAAGTAAAACATTTTTTCACAGAGTGATAAATTTTACAGAGAGTGGATTTACTTTCATTTTATTCACCTGAAGTGATGCATGTATTACAGCAGTGGAGGAATATAAATAATGAAATGAGGTAAATTTGTCTAATAAAAAAAATGCACAAGTAAAATTTATTTAGAATTTTTCAAAAATAAGAAGCTTATGACCAAAAAATGCATAAATACTGTCAGGGCATGAGAGTGAATACTTATTCAGAGTTCTAATCATGTAGCACACATGTAGTACAGAATGTCACTTGGCACCATGGTATGCCTGTTATGGTTCTCTGGACTTTTTGCATGCTTACGCAGCTGACATCCATGATTTTTCAGTTTGTCGGAGAATGTGTTTTGTCATGTTAGCACTTTTATGTAGGTTTTGACCCTCTCTTTTAAATTAAGTCTCAGTCAGGATGCTTATTTCAGCATGATTTGTTAAGCATATTAATATACTGAAATATTAATAAATTACAAATTAAAGTGATGAAGAAATTTGACATATTTACACAATCAAAATATCAGAATAACCATAATTCAGCTAATAAAGTGTCCTGTTTTTCTTATGTCACTTCCTATAAATTTTATCAGCAGTTTTTGTACACCCACCCACCCCCAAGAACCATGTAGGATGGCCTGATATTAGTCTTTTTGTTGCATTTTTTCACATTTGAAAGTGTTAAAACTCATAAAAATGTTTAAGATTTATATTTTGGAATTTAAATGTTGAATTTTTATGTAAATTTGGTGAAACAAAAAGCTGTAATCTTGAATTAATCATGCAAATTCATCAAACACCTTTGGAATTCCTGAGTAATTCAATGAAAAGAGGATAATTATGCATGTTCAATTGGAATTTCATGGCTAATTTGTGTCTGCAGAGAAAGCCAGTTACATAAATCCAAACAATAAATTACATCTGAATTGTTTCCTCCATTTTCTTATCATCAAAGCAAGTTTAATGGAGTGTCAGAGCTGTCCAGATTCTCCCTAGGTGCTGATATCATTTGGACTGCCCTGTGTTACAACACAGCTTTTAGATAAACTTCTGCACATCAGCTTGTAGACAAGTACCTAGGCTTTATTTGGAACATAAATTGACCAGATGCAGATTTTATTATCAGTCTAATATTTAACAATTTCTGTGAATTCTGTCATTCTTAGGAGGGCAAAATGCAATTTTGTTATGTAATAATTGCATAATGGTCTCAGACTTGTGAACTATTTTTTGTTTGTTGTGAAGAACAATGTATATACTCTCCACGGATAAGAAATTGTTTGCCAGACTTAGTCTATTAATGATGAAATTCTGCTTCAAAATATGCACAAAAAAACTTCTGTCAGAGTGCTCTGTGTGTATTCTTGACTGCTCTGGAGTAAGGGAGATAAATGCATATATCTCCAGCAATAAGGGGAATTAGATCACCAAACTTAAGGATGTTGGTGGCAGTTATTTAAGAAATCTCAGGTGCAAAAATGAAAAAAATCTGACAACTTCAAGGGTCCTTCAAGGTATCACACCGGTAATTGACCAATCAAAATGAACTTAGTCAATTGTAGTTCCATACATATAAAATTAATTTTTCTTTCTTTTGATAATTTTTTTAATTTTCTTCCAGGCTATTTTTACAACTTTGGTACCTGTGCCTAGTAAATTTAATGTACTTTGTAAATAAATACAGTTTTTTGACAGGAACTATTTTTTTCAGGGCATAGGAGGCTACTTCCTGGGGTGCACTGGAGCTGTTTATAAACACATTGAAAACACGTGGATTTGAGGGTAGCCCTGTTTGCAGATGGAAAAAATCAGAAAATGCCGTGTAGGTACCCTGTTTTTTGGACTCGGCTAATGAGAGAGGTAATGTTTTATACTTCCTGCTAAATATTTTTTCATGAATTAATTTACCTGATTTTTTAAGAATTTTTTTCCTATATAGAAACATATAGTGAAAACAATTACCGGTGTGATACCTGAAATAAAGTAATCACCGGAAGTGATCTTGCAGGAAAACAAACTAGATAATAAAACCCGGATATATTTGGAAATCTCTGTGAAACTTTTTTTTTAGATCATAAAACGTTTTATATGTCTCTTCTGAAATTAACTAAATACAGCCCATTGAAAGCATATTTTTCATATTTTTCTTTAGGCCTAACAAAGTTTTACATAAAGACAAGTTATGAAGCCAATGCAAGCTGTGCAAAGTAAAGTATATGTGACGTCAGTTAGTGCAAGTTATGACGTAAGAAAAGTCCTGTAAAGTATGGCAGACCGGACAACTTTAGATACAAATGAAGAATTTGTGGATTGTACAGATATATTTCTTGATAAAGTGATTGAGGATTGTATGACTGTTCCGTCTTCGGATCATTTGCCCGATGAGAGTGAAGAGTTTTGTGCATCTGTTATGATAAAAGAAAACCTCGATCTGAATCTCAGACAAGGTGATGAAGATAAAAGTGATAGATATTATAACTTCAGTGGAACAGTGCCGTATTCCAGAGAGAAGCTAGTTCCACTTTGCTTACAAGGAGATGACATAAGTTTTGATTTAGACGAAAACATCTCCATCATACGGCGATCACAAAGTGACGATTTGCTTTCCACCAGTAGATCTTCAAGTAAGAATGGCCACTTTAATTTGCAACGCCCAACAAAGAGCGAGAAAAACAGTCGTGAAATCATTTATCCTCATAAGACCTTAAATGATACTTTGCAGTCCACTCCGTCCAATCCTACTGACGGACTGGCCAATGATGCAAGTAGTGATGCTAGTTCGTGTAACGTAGACTTCATGGCAGAGTATGAACGCAGAGTCGATCTTTTAGAATGCTCCGACTATGCACTGGAGGAAGCGTTTGTTATGATACGAGGTTGTGTTGAGAAACTTTGCTTAAATAACGGTATTTTATCTGAAATCCAAGAACAAGAACAGTCAAATGAAAAGAGATCAGAAGTAGTTATGTCAGAAGAAGCTGAAAAAGATGAGGAAAACGATAAGCATGTGAAAGAAAAAGACCAGAAAACAGATAAAGATACGTCAGATCAGAGGAAGACAGGAAATTTCACAGAGTGCCAAGACAATAAGGTTATTCTTAAAGACCTTTTGGCATTGCTTGGGGAATTGGAATCTAGATTTGAACATTTCACATCTGATATTGGAGGTAAATGCACTTTTTAATCATAAAAACTTATCTTAAAAATACAAATTTAGCATAATATTGAGCAGTTAAGTGCATTCTTTACACAGTCGAGTCTAAACTTATAATGAACAAACTTTCTGTTTCTCTGTAATAGATCTGGTTCAGTTGGGAGCTTTGTCGGCCAAACATGCCATGAGATTAGAGCAATACGCCAAGATTGTTCAGAGTACATACGTGAATCTGAGGGCGGACAACGAGAAGATACACGTAGGTTTGGCAAACAGCTTTGAACCGTGTGTTACAGTTAATATCACTACAAGATGATCATTTCTCATAATGTATTTATGATATTGACCATGCATTACAGGAATATTTACAAGACAAAGAGGCAAATTGGGTTCAGACACAAGCTCAACTGCACAACGAGATCGTCCGTCAAACAGAGGAGATCCAGACGTTAATGACCGAACTCTCCAAGAGTAGTTCACAAAACCGAATCCGAAACCAAAGTACATGCCATGTTATTCATTTAAAAAAATTCTATACTAGTTAAATACATATACTGTTACAAGTATAAAGTAGCATGTAAATCGTCCTGGAATAAATACTTGTCTGACTATCAGATAACTCAACATTTCAGTGCAAGATCGACACCTCAATAAAGTAAAGAAAGATGTACATTCTACTGAGGATATCGTCGATTTGATGCTGCACCAGAGATGTTCAATAGAAAAAGCAATGGCACAGGATTTCAGTCGTCAATCTAAGGTCTCTCCTCTCTCTCTTTCTCCCTCCCCCCTCTCTCTCTCGCATGCTAAACCATTTATAATAATTATTATTTTTATTGTTGCAGATTCATGAGCTAAAATTGCTGGTGCTTCAACAGCAAAGTTATGTCCAAAAGTTAGAGCTACAAAACAAGGAAATGGATCTGGTTCTGCGGGGACTGCTGTTTTCAACTGATGAGGTAGAGTTTACCAACAATTTTAAGAATAACTATTTTGCTTTGTTATGGGTTGGTAAAAGAATGTAGACGTATTTGATATGGATTCGGCAGGAATCTGGACACACTTCACTTGAAAAGTGAAATTTTCATTGATCCTTCATATGATATTTCATATAAATTGATATAAATTGCCATAAGGGGTTCCTTTGACGTTGGAAAGAAAAGTATGTTCCTGGTATTGTGTTTTGATTTGCTAAAATATGCAGTGAGTTAAATATGGCAATTTTAAAAACGTTTTCCTATAAAATTGTTATTTCTGAATGCTCCACAAATAAAACGTTATTTGTGTGTATTTTTACTCAACAAAACGACCAAATGATTGTTAAAAATGGAGAAAAGACCCAGACTGGCTGAGACCATAAAAAAGTTATATTTTTTTCTCCAAAAACTCGCATTATGTAAATGTGTTGCTTCAATAGTGTTTTAAAATTTATTTTAAATGTTTAGCACCAACATTACTGAGGGTCGTTTGAAAAGTTCTGAGTGTTGTTTGATAAAATGTATATCGTTCAACGGAATTTTTCACTCAATAAATACATTTGCTGTATTTTCTAATTTCTACTTTAATATTAACCAACTATGACATTGATTTGAATGCCTTTTTCATGTATACCCATGCGTAGAAATATATACAAGGCAAAATTCGAGCTAAAGTGACGTTACAATGAGGCTACAGAGACGTTAATAAAAATAATGATAACGTTATAGGACAGCGAGAAATTCAAAGATTGAGTATATTTTTGGTGCTTTTAAACATGTCTTACAGTAAAATGTAAATATAAGGAATGTTTTTAAGTTAAGTGTGAATTATTGGTGTGTAAATCACACAGACTTGCTCGTAGACATATTTTTGATGAGGCGCTAACTTTTCAAATATCCCACGGTACAGTGAGACACCTGTCTATGAATTTTGACATCTTTAAGTTTATACCGATTCCCCTATAGTTTTTCTTGTATGGGGTTCATTTATGTTCAAGGCACTCCGAGTCTCGTACGGTAATTAATATTTTGATAACGAATTTAAATAATACAACATCAATAACATTACCATATTTTCAAATGTTTCACAGCCACAAGAGCCACCAAAGGATTTCCAGAATATATCTCCATTAAAAAATCCCATCAGTATGATATCAGACGTTCTTTTCTGTGATCAAGCTCAATATCTAGTGGATAAGTCTACTGACAGTTCTCTGGTCTCAGAACAAGTATTCCAGATAGGTAACTACTGAACTATCCTTTGCTTTCACAAACACTAATATCCTTTCTTATAACTCTTTCAACTTTTTAAAATATTTTGAATATTATACGAAAACGGCAAATTTTGTTCTCGGAAAAGTAAAATTGAAAAATCGGAATTATTCTTTGAACACAATACAATGTCGGGGAAGAATGCTCCCATAAAATTTTACAAAAAAAAATACAATGTCCATCTATGATGAAAAATGTCATTCTTTGTACTATGTTTTATCGATGCAGTTCAGTCAATTTTATATCTTTCAAAAACAGAGGGATAAAATTACGCATATAAACTCAATTCAAAGTTTTTATTTTTATTTTTAGGGGATTCCACTAGGAGTGAAACACAATCAGAGGCAGTCTTTGACCCACAGCGTCTGTCATACGTACGTAACAAAATACGTGAACAAGAAATACCTGAATCTCGGCCTGTTTTAGCTCGAGATCTCGGAAGTGGCGAGAGTAAAGGGTTAGATGATATAAACGTGGAGCATGATGCACGTGTGGAAGAAAGTATAAATGTGCAAATTTTGGATGATCCAGCTTCGTTTGAAGAATTTAGAAGCGCCGTCGAAATACAAGAACAGTAGAAGAAAAGGATTGCGTTCATCAGTAATGAATAAATGATAATTCTGTGATAATTAAATGAAATTTTAGTGTTTACTGTTCGTTTTTTTGAGTCTGTGATATTCGTGCCATATTTTTTCTTTGAAATTATATCGTAACTTTTACCGTTTTGTAATATTATGTATGTCTATATGTACATATATTGTAATAACTGGCATGTATAGTAGTATATAGAAATTACAAATAGTTTGTTGTCCTTCTTTTGAAAAAATAAAATCGTAAAAAAAACTAATTTTGTTAGAGTTTGAATAAGAACAAGTTTCAGCGATGCAAAGTCCCTTATTGTTTCTGTCTATTTTCGTCAATAGTTTTTATCCTTTAGTGTGTTTACCTCTCTTCATGTAGGTACATTGTAGGTATATGTTGCAGCAACACTTATTGTAAATTGTAAAAAATATTTACAGAAAGGTTTCTCTTGTTCCCCTTTTTGTACAACATTACCCCTAATGTAACAAGAGGCCCATGGGCCATATCGCTCACCTGAGTACATTGGCTAGGAAAAAAAGCAAAAATCAGTTCAGTATTGAAAAGTTTACGGGGTGGTGTGTGGGGGGGGGGGGGTTGAATTTTAAACTACCTGATGATGCTTTCATATCAATATAACAAATGGCTTTGCTGTTCTTGAGCAGAAGATTTTTTCCCATACATGTATTATTCATTTGTAAAAATTTGATCCCCCATTGTGGCCCCACCCTACCCCCGGGGGCCCTTATTTGAACAAATTTCATTCTACACTACCCAAGGATGCCTCCATATCAATTTGACTAATCATGGCTTTTCTGTTCTTGAGAAAAAGATTTTAAAAGTTTTTTTCTATATACTCTTATGAAAAACTTTATGTGACCCCATCCTATCCCCGGGGGGGGGGGGGAGGGGGGTCATGACTTGAACTAACTTGAATCTATACTATCTGAGGATGCTTCCATATAAATATGACCAATCATGGCTTTGCTATTCTTAAGAAGAAGATTTTTAAAGATATTTTCCTATATATTTCTATGTAAAACTTGGATCCCCCATTGTGGCCCCACCCTACCCCCAGGGGTCATGATTTGAACAAACTTGAATCTACACTACCTGAGGATACTTCCAAATAAATATGACCAATCATGGCCTCGCTGTTCTTAAAAAGAAGATTTTTAAAGATATTTTCCTATATATTTCTATGTAAAACTTGGATCCCCCATTGTGGCCCCACCCTACCCCCGGGGGTCAGGATTTGAACAAACTTGAATCTACACTACCTGAGGATGCTTCCATATAAATATGACCAATCATGGCTTTGCTGTTCTTAAAAAGAAGATTTTTAAAGATATTTTCCAATATATTTCTCTGTAAAACTTTGACCCCCCATTGTGGCCCCACCCTATCCCCGGGGGTCATGATTTGAACAAAATTGAATCTACATTACCTGAGGATGCTTCCATATAAATATGACCAATCATGGCTTTGCTATTCTTAAGAAGATTTTTAAAGATATTTTCCTATATATTTCTATGTAAAACTTGGATCCCCCATTGTGGCCCCACCCTACCCCCCGGGGGTCATGATTTGAATAAATTTGAATCTACACTACCTGAGGATGCTTCCAAATAAATATGACCAATCATGGCTTTGCTGTTCTTAAGAAGAAGATTTTTAAAGATATCTTCCTATATATTTTTATGTAAAACTTTGATCCCCCATTGTGGCCCCCCTACCCCCGGGGGTCATGATTTGAACAAACTTGAATCTACACTACCTGAGGATGTTTCCACATAAGTTTCATCTTTCCTGGCCCAGTGGTTCTTGAGAAGGAGATTTTTAAATGATGCCATTAATTTTTCACGAATTCCTAATTATCTCCCCTTGAAAGAAGGCATGGCCCTTCATTTGAACAAACTTGAATCCCCTTCACCCAAGGATACTTTGTGGCAAGTTTGGTTGAATTTGGCCCAGTGGTTCTTGAGAAGAAGATGAAAATGTGAAAAGTTTACAACAACAACAACAACGACGACAGACAACGGACAAATTTTGATCAGAAAAGCTCACTTGAGCCTTTGGCTCAGGTGAGCTAAAAATTAGGGAACGAAGCTCAACCTACAATTATTAAAAAAATTCCGTGCAAACTGCTAAAGGACATTTACATATTTGAAAAAAGATTGGGGAAGATTTCGTTCCCCTTGTACAAGAAAACATCGCCCCTAATGTAACAAGAGGCCCATGGGCCACATCGCTCACCTGAGCACATTGGCTAGGAAAAAAAGCAAAAATCAGTACAGTATTGAAAAGTTTACAGGGAGGGGGTGTTGAATTTTAAACTACCTGATGATGCTTTCATATCAATATAACAAATGGCTTTGTTGTTCTTGAGCAGCAGATTTTTTTCCCATAAATTCATTTGTAAAAATTTGATCCCCCATTGTGGCCCCACCCTACCCCCAGGGGCCCTCATTTGAACAAATTTCATTCTACACTACCCAAAGATGCCTCCATATCAATTTGACTAATCATGGCTTTTCTGTTCTTGAGAAAAAGACTTTTTCCTATATATTCCTCTGTAAACTTTGATCACCCATTGTGGCCCCAACCTATCCCCGGGGTAATGATTTGAACAAACTTGAATCTTCACTATCTAAGGATGTTTCCATATAAATATGACCAATCATGGCTTTACTGTTTTTAAGAAGAATATTTTTAAAGATATTTTCCTATATATTTCTATGTAAAACTTGGATCCCCCATTGTGGCCCCACCCTACCCCCGGGGGTCAGGATTTGAACAAAATTGAATCTACACTACCTGAGGATGCTTCCATATAAATATGACCAATCATGGCTTTGCTGTTCTAAAGAAGAAGATTTTTAAAGATATTTTCCTATATATTTCTATGTAAAACTTGGATCCCCCATTGTGGCCCCACCCTACCCCCAGGGGTCATGATTTGAACAAACTTGAATCTTCACTACCTGAGGATGCTTCCATATAAATATGACCAATCATGGCTTTGCTGTTCTAAAGAAGAAGATTTTTAAAGATATTTTCCTATATATTTCTATGTAAAACTTGGATCCCCCATTGTGGACCCACCCTATCCCCGGGGGTCATGATTTGAACAAACTTGAATCTTCACTACCTGAGGATGCTTCCAAATAAATATGACCAATCATGCCTTTGCTGTTCTTAAGAAGAAGATTTTTAAAGATTTTTTCCTATATATTTCTATGTAAAACTTTGATCCCCCATTGTGGCCCAACCCTACCCCCGGGGGTCATGATTTGAACAAACTTGAATCTACACTACCTGAGGATGCTTCCATATAAATATGACCAATCTTGGCTTTACTGTTCTTAAGAAGAAGATTTTTAAAGATATTTTCCAATATATTTCTATGCACAACTTGATTCCCCCATTGTGGCCCCACCCTACCCCGGGGGTCATGATTTGAACAAACTTGAATCTACACTACCTGAGGATGTTTCCACATAAGTTTCATCTTTCCTGGCCCAGTGGTTCTTGAGAAGAAGATTTTTAAATGATGCCATTATTTTTTCACTAATTCCTTATTATCTCCCCTTGAAAGAGGGCGTGGCCCTTCATTTGAACAAACTTGAATCCCCTTTACCCAAGAATGCTTTGTGGCAAGTTTGGTTGAATTTGGCCCAGTGGTTCTTGAGAAGAAGATGAAAATGTGAAAAGTTTACAACAACAACGACAACGCCAACGACAACAGACAACGGACAAATTTTGATCAGAAAAGCTCACTTGAGCCTTTGGCTCAGGTGAGCTAAAAATTAGGGAACCTATATATATATATATATATATATATATATATATATATATATATATATATATATATATATATATATATATATATATATATATATATATATATATATATATACGTGTATATAAAATCCCGTGCAAACTGCCAAAGGATATTTTGATAATTGAAACAAGATTGGTAAGATTTTATAGCCACATTACGCGCCTTGAAGTACTCTGATGTGTCAAACCCTGTGACGGTACGTATTGTGGTTTCGTTGCGACAAAATGTACATATCCTCTCTGCATACATCCTTCGACACATATTGTCGCCGGCTGGAAAATTGTCCATATTATCGCTGGCGGCATTATGTGCCTATCCTTACTTCATGCAGTATATCATCCTCACAATGTCAAGGTTTTGTGATTTCGGAACTCCACACAAACCCTGTCGCCCACTGTTAGGGGTTATCAAGGCTTTTTTTAATTCTGTGAATGAAATTGGTTTGTAGATCACACAGACGCGTCTTGTAGGCTATTTCATTGCAGCGCGATTGCAATCTAATTAAAATCAGACTTATTAGATCCGCGCCGTATACACTCTGCGTAAGAGTGTACATACGGCGCGGATCTAAGAAGTCTGATTTTAATTAGATTGGCGCGATTGTGACGATGCATATTGTCGTCCTGTACACATTGTCACCGGCGACATTGTGTACCTACCCTCATTGCACATTATTTTGGGGTCCCCAAAACGAAGTGAAAAACGGAGTGGCAGGGGCGAGAACCAGACTAACTGCACATATTGTCGTCCATCTATACATATTGTCGAAGCTAGGATGCACAATTATACATGTACATATTGTTGCTGGCGAGAATACTAGTATGTGCCTACTCTCATTGCAAATATTGTCGCATATAGTAATATGGATGATGATGATATCGAAAATTATAAATTCAATTGTCATGAAATCGCTTATTTATTGTCATTTTTTCAACTCTAGCGAAGCAGCTGCAATAAATGCATGCTATAATAAATATACACGTGTACAAGTAATACCGTGAAGATTAGACTAAGTGCAAATAATATGATTTATATAAATTCATGAAAAAGACCAGAAAACTTTCTCTCTCTCTCTCTCTCTCTGAAACTTTAATCAAACACCTCTCTGAAACTTTAATCAAACATCCGATGACTTACGAAGAGAATAATACATGGCAAAATCTATATCACACCCAATATCAACCCGAGACTCCAATATCAGCCCGAGGGCCGAAGGCCAGTGGACTGATATTGGTAGAGGGTTGATATGGGATGTGATACAGATCTTGTCATGTATTGTTGTTTTTATTATATATATTTGAGAAAAGTGTCTAAAAATCATATATAAACTTGTAAATTAATTACTGAATCTTTAATAATTGAATGTGTTCTGTTTGAATTTCCGTTTCTCATATTTTTTTTCAAAGGCCATGCATTCGGCGATAAAAAACGAAATAATTATAAATTAAACACATATTATAACATAAAATATCTGATGAAACAAAATGGTGTCAGGTCATTTCTCTCTAAAACTTTTTCTCTCCTAGGTTATTTCTCTCTACTACCATTTCACGGTAGTTCATTTCACGGTAGGTCATTTCACTCTCCTACCTAGGTCATTTCACCCCATTTTTAATCTGGTCTAATAAAATTATTTACAACTCCATTCTTGTGTAATTAACTCTCCTACCTATGGTCATTTCACCCCATTTTTAATCTGGTCTAATAAAATTATTTACAACTCCATTCTTGTGTTATTAACTCTTATCTGGTCAAACAAATTAATTTAATCAATTTATGACTCTTATAAAACTGAACGAGAGGAAGTCTGCCGGTATCTTATTTACAGGAAAAAATAATTAATTATCTGATAAAAACAATACATTGATACCGTTGCCCAGCCCTTGCCACGTGGAGGCCTCCTCGTTAAGGGCCATAATTTTGAAAGAAAAATTTAAAGTTAAAGTTAATAAATTTATTAAAATCATCAATCTTTACCTTAGCCGATAATGAAATTAAAATTTGTCTGTGAACAGAATATTATATAAATCAAAATCGAAACCAAAGAAAAAAATAATACCTGTAATAATTTTATTTATCGATTGATTTCATAATAGCAAAACATGTAAGTGCGAATAGAAAATAAAACAGTTTCAAAGTATATTCTGTCACTCTAAATCTTACGACAAAAAGGAGGAAAATAGATCTCATATAAAATAAAAATAATTGTTAAAAAAAAGATACTAGTATATTAAGAAACCAGAAATGTAAATATTTACAAGGTTTTTAAGTAATTGTACATTCTTTAAACTAAAAAAGATAGGAAAGCGAAGAAAACAAAAACGTAAAAAAAAAAAAAATGCTACTTATACGAGAAAAAACCTGAAATGCAATATTTACATATTTACAATGTATACAATATGTACAAAGTATACCCAAATCTCATGAAACACAAAGATCAGATTTCGAATAGGAATTTACTCAGTGTGGCCATAGACACCTCCACAAATTCGCAGGAAATGGCTTGTAGTGATGATGTCATCGTCATAATCCGCCCAAGCTTGTCGAATTTTCTTCTCCACCCTTGTGCTGGTTATTCTGGCATCACGAGACAGGTCCTGCGCGGAAACCTGGACGTGCACAATTTCAGCCTCCTTCTGCAGCATAGGAATCAAGCGGTAGAACCCAATGTTTCCGTGCCCAGCTTTGCCATTGAGACGATTGTGCCATCCTAGGTATTTTTTTTTTAAGAATAAGCAAGTCAATAAAATTAAAGGGGGGGGGAGTGGGAGGAAGGGGGTTAAATATTTAAGGTACACATGAAATAGATATATCTATAATACATTACCTTCGGTATCGTTGTTGGTACGAATCTCCTGCTTGTAGATGGACCAGGCTGGAATAGGGAATACTGCGTTGCTAATCCACTGTCTCTCCATGTAGTCTGTGAGGGACTTTAGAGAAGAAGATGGTTGAACCTTTTCTTGCATTGCCCGAAATGTGGGGTTGATGTCATTTGAAGGCAGAAATGGAAGGGCCATTAACTGTTTGATAAACCAGTGAGTTGCCTTTTTCTCGCGATAGGTGGCAGCTAGTCCAAGGTCCTGCACATGTCTCCATAATGCCTGTGTCCAATGGAAGACACATCCACGGATTGAAATACCGGGCAATACTTCTCGAAGGACTGCCAAGCCGCTAACAGAGGCAAATTGATATTTAGTTTAACTTATAATCCTTAACATTTTTCATTCCTACACTAAGTACTATTTTTTCATTTGTGTAATAAGAATAAGAAAATGAAATACCTTTTTCAAAGTCCAGCATAATTTCCTCAACAACTGGTTCATCTAGCCGTTATAATATGGCCTGCAAAACCTGAAGAATCAGGAAAATCGAAGCTATTTCTCTGATTTGCAATAATTTTTAAAAGGAATAATTTTATAAGTCAGTGATGCATGCACATTTTTGTCAGTTTACTTTTGCCTCACCATCATATAGTCTTCCTTTTTTCTCCTTGACATCAGGGCAAATACCAAAGGAAACTGTTTCTTTTTACCGCCCTGTTGCACAAAGGCGTGAATTGACATCAGCTGGCCAGTTTTACGGAAAACTTTGGGTACAACCTAAGAATGTAATACTCATTCGTGCATTTTTGTTTAATCTTAAATCCAAAAAAAAAAAAAATAATATTTAGTGTATCGATATATATAGCACCGACGATGTCTTTGGTATCTATGTATTTTAATTAAATATATACATATATTAACCTTAAAAGTCCCGTCCATATACCAGCGCCTAGCGTCCTTCAGCAGGGATAGCTGGAAAGGGGAACTGAATATTATATGCCTCTGTCCATCTGCATTCATGTCGGCGACAAGGAAGTCTTCGCATTGGAGGAAGTCAAGGTCCCCGGCGTTCAGTTCACATTAATTGTTATACCAGAGGCAGTAAATTTTAAGTACAAACAAAAATATTTTCACAATCATACAATTATGAAATGCTTGAAACAGTTTTTTGAAAGGGTTTAGACACATGATTGTTATGTTAGCTAGATCTTTACACTGTTTACATGTACTTACGTCAATTTTATTATTAAGGAGTCATTCACGATAAGTCAATTATGCACGTACGCAAGAGAAAATATTAATGCAGAAAAAAATGTTTCAAACAATCAGGACTTTTTAAAATTAAAACTACATATATGCACATTGATTTTGTGTTTTTAGAATAAACATGTTCAAAAAGGGGGTACACAAAGCGCTGCATTTCATTTCCGAAATTTTGCATTGCATTTCCTACATTTTTTGTTTGCATTTCCGACATTTTTTTTATTTTCATTTCCGACATTTATTTCTTTACATTTCCGGAATATTTGGAGGGTACTTATACGACAATTTAATGTTAACGAAGCACGTGGAAATAGGATATAAATATTACATTTATTTCAAACCACATTTTCTGAATAAAAATAATGCAATACACTAAAGAACATGCATATGCAAAAAAAAAAAAAAAAGGTCTAAGAAGGAAGTTAAAACTTACCTGTCTGTGACAGTCCAAACATTTAGGATTAGTCATCTTGCCTAAAGATTGTGATCGCTAGAAAGTATTGCAGTAAATGAGATTTTTTATTAAGTCAAATAAAAAGTGGCAAAAAATTCTTATTTATATAATAATCCGGCTGAACACATCTGTGTACAATACACAAAGCTGACATTTTCTGTCACTAAGAATGATTTCTCCAAATTTAAACGAGTAATAATTAAGGTATCAATCTGTGAAATGTAATCGACAATTCACGGATAAACATATGTACCCAGCATGTATATACAAAAAACACCGTGTAAGGTATCATAAAACCGCCAGACAGCAATTACGAAATCTAACAATAATATATTTATTCGGAATTCCTGATAAAGGCCATAAACGAAAGATGACATCAAAAAGGAAAATAAACAAACTTGAAGACTACTATTGAATTTAATTGTGGGAAAAAAATGGATTAAAATAAAATATTTTTATCATCGCATTTAAATCTAAGTTATTCCATATTTCATAAGAAAGAAAGAAAAAACAAACAAAGAAGAAATAAAATAAAAAATAGATAAATAAATGAATTAAGGAATACTTAAATAAATAAATGAATAAATGTGTGAACTCAGAAATAAATAAATAAATGAATAAATAAATAAATAGATAAATAAATAGATAGATAGATAAATAAATAGATAGATACATAAATTTTCTAATTCAAATAATGGTACTAGTATAAAGCATGTTAATGTTAAGCTCAATAGTAATGGTATAAAAACTTATTGTATTATAATTTTCATGTTGGAGTGAAATGACCTAGGTTGTGGAGAGAAATGACCTAGGTAATGGAACGAAATGACCTAGGAGAGAAATGACCTGGGTGGAAATGACCTAGGCGGAGTGGGTACTGGGGAGAAATGACCCGGATTCAATAAAATTACAATTTAAATCAACTTCATAAACAGATAGAAAAAAAGATTCGAGGAACTCCGAATGAAAAATACAGAGATGTTCCGGAAAGGTGTAATAAAGGAATCGGCAATCCTCGGCTGACTCCGATACGCTCCATACATTGGTGGAGGAATATGCATTAAACCGATACATTTCTCCGCTGGAAACTGCCTTGTAACTCATTTCACATTTCGCTCTGCAAAAAGTTCTTCAAAAAGTTTTTTTTAAACTTGTCTAATTCTTCCTTTTGTATTGGGTTTGATTACAACCTTATGGTAGTAGTCTTTGAAAGCAAAAACATAGTGTTGGGCGTGTCACATAGTAACTACAGGGACCTATATTCTAACTAACTTAGTATAATTATATAGGTCCCTGGTAACTATAACATTTGGAGGAATTTCAAATAAGATCACATGACTGTATCAGCCAGGGTTGGCCGGGAAATACCAGTGGTGGGAATTACCACTGGTAAATACCGGTATTTCCCGTCCCGGGAAATACTACAAATATTCTCTAAACTGGGAAATATTGGGAACTACTGAGAAATACAAAGTTGAAGTTTTTTTAATTTCTTTAATTCATTTAATCTTATACAAAATTCAAAAATAAAAATGACATAAAAACAGAGGATGAATAATATGGAATATGTCTCAAATTGCAATTTAACATATATAGAATGTATCACTTCTCCAGGCCCCATACCCATAAGCATTCTGAAATATTTCCCTGGCTGTATACAACTTAAGTTTTCCAATTCATGTTTCTTTTCAGTTTTTTAAAAATTTTTAAGTTTATTAATTATAAATCCAAGAACAAAAAAAAAAAAACAAAACAAAACAAAAACTTGTTTTTATCCTTCTATAAACACTGTAGTTATTACAAACAATCATGTTGTTTTAACAAATTGCTCTGGACACTTTTGTGCTCTTGTTTTTAGAGATAATTTACCTTGAGTAGAACTGAAAGGCTTCTTCTTAGGTTTGATATTTATACCATACTCTACATTTAAGAATTTTCTTAGATCCTTTAGTTACATAAAAAACCCAAATGGGATCTTTGGGTTCATTTCATGAACCTTTATAGACTACATCTGACTCAAACATGAAACAAATGACTGGTATATGAGTGATGTGTTATATGTTGTGTTATGATTATATAAAATGAATTACTTGGAAACCTGATTTTTTTAAATCAGGGACAGTGATACCAGGTAGATATCTAAGTCAATAAGGTGTCCAACATGTCAATTTCCCAGTATTTCCCAGGAAATACCAGTAATTCCCGGTAATTACCAGTATTTCCCACTGTCCTGGGAAATATGAGTATTTCCCAGTTTTTTGCCAACCCTGGTATCAGCAAAAAGCCTCGGATGTAAACGATGTTCTTCCATTTTGCTGATATTATCACATACTGATACTATCAGCAAAATGGAAGAACATCGTTTACATCCGAGGTTAGTGTCAATCGGATCAGCAAAATGGAAGAACATCGTTTACATCCGAGGTTAGTGTCAATCGGATCACCTCGCCCTTTTCCGTCGCACGCTAGAAAAAAGAGCGTGCGACGGAAAAGGGCGAGGTGATCCAATTGAGGTTAGTGTGTGAGGTTCGAGCCACCCGAGGAGCTCCGAGTGGGAATAAAAGGTGTGATAAAGGGTGAAATAAAGGGTGCTGATACATGGTGTGTAATACAGGGCGCGTGCCTGTTTTCATATCAGGGAGCAAAAATCCTGTATTATATAACCAATATATAATAGATACTGATGTAATTTCTGTATAAGCAGGTTTAATGAGAAACCTTTAAAAAGTCGACCTCCATCCCCAATAATTTAATGAATAATACCGATACATATATACTCTTCAAAAAAAGAGAAACGCATAATAGGAATAATACCCTGAAAAATGTAAGATGGATTTGTGATACAATTTTTTTTAGATGGATATGATTCATTCGAGTAAAATGCGTTATTTTTTAACGCATTTGTTAATTGTACAGCTATTCTACAAATCTCACAGAAAAAAAACCTGATTCTGCAAAATGCTAAAAAAAAAATTTTTTTTTCTCAATTTTCATTTGTTGGTTTTTGATGCAATTGCTTCAGGCACCAAAGGGCTATCAAAAGCTAGGGTTCTCGATATTTTGACACTGGTTTTATTTGAAAATTGACGCTATTTAAAAATGCTGCATTTGAATGTTGCATATCACTAAAAGGAAAATGTTCGACTGGAAGCAGCTGTACCACAGTCTACAATTGCAAGAGCCGGTTTTAATGTTACGCACAGCATCATATCTAACCTATAAAACATATACCATTAACAAGGAACACCCAATATTCGCCAAAAATATGGCAAACCACACGTGACATCAGCAGCACAGGATCGCTTCAGTGGTTTACTTAATTTTCATGAATGTTTCACAATGACGTCATCTACAGAATTAGCTATCCCTGAACTGCACAGAACATCTAACAAGACCGTTTGCATGCAGTTGACTATGGAATGCTGGAATTATTGCCAGAGGATTATTCAAGCCATTGTTCTGACCCCACAACACTGCAAATATCGACTTCAAAGATCTCAGATCAACAGAATATGGCCACAGCAACACCGCTGAACATTTTCGTTTAGCTACCAGAATGTTTACCGGAAAGCCTGTTATAAATTTAAGAGTGCATAAGCTTCGTA